GGACAACATTCCTATGTACTTACTAAGTATTAGCAAAAACAAAAGTACGTGGAATGATTTTAAATCCTTTTTTCCTGAGTACTAGCTGGTCACTAGATGATTAAATGAAGACAAGCTGGATTGATTTGAACTGAACTTCAGGTGAAGTGGGACCTTAGCGAGGTGGAATGCTGGAGATAGAAGCACCAAGTCCAGAGAGACACATGGAGATGACGGAGGATTTATTTTAGGATTATCTTAGGTTTCATGTTTCATAAGTTGGACAGACTCTGAAAGTTCATAGAAGACTTTTCTATATATTTTTGAATATGGAAGACAAGTTACCAAAAATGAGAAGAAATGAATGCATTTCTGTTTTTTCAGATGTAGAAAATGTATAGAGATGGTGAGAGACTGTCCATTTGTTAGGTAAAGAAGGCATAAAGAGAGCACATACGTGTTTATTTTTTATTAGACAACCTTTTGTAATAATAAGAATTCATATTTTACAGAAGACAAAGAACTAAATATTTAGAACCCTTGTTTTTGATACTTATCTCCCATGCTGCCCTCCCTTTATTCAGTACGTGCATTCCTTCCCCACTAACTGCATATGAATCGGATAGCCATCAGCTTCCTGGATTATGTGACAGACACAGTGGCAGTCATCTGTACTGTATTTCTTTTTACCCTGGGAGTCAAGATCTAAATCTACCAGAAATGGTTTTTACTAAAAAACCAAGGATGCGATTTGTGACACCGTAGCCTCTTCTGCTGGACAATTGCATGCTTCTAGGGCCACTTCGTTCTCTGTCATATTTTGTGTATCATAATTTCAGTGGCTTCTTTTATTTCTACAGTTCCTCTTGCCCATCCTTCCCAAAGAGAAAGCCTTTTTAGTAGGCTCAGATTAGGTGACTGGCAACTAAAATTTCCTATCTGTTGCAAGAGTATCTCTTATTTATAATGGTTATCCAGTTATTTATATACAAAGAAACATTTTTATAAGATACTTTAAGAAAAGAGGTTATTTTTCTTTAAAAAGGAGTTCTGTTCTTTTTAAAACAGAATCTGACAGGATCTTGTGTTTTTAAGAGGTGTCATTCTTTTTTTTAAGCAAAAACTACAGCTTGGAGTTTTTTAAATACATAGTGAATGTTTTGACCAAATATATATAGTTTTACTTAAAGTATTTTAACAATGAGTTTTCTAAGTGGAAGAACCTAATAGAAATTGGCATGTCCTAGTCAGTGGCATGGACTAATAACTTACCTTGATAACAAATCCCACTGCTGGCTACTAAGAAGCTTTATCGGGTTTAATAGGGAAAAGCCTTGTACTGATACATATTGTTCATATGTTTACATGTAATGTGTACTTGTATACATAGTGTGTACTTACATGTATTACATGCATATTATATGTGTGGACTGAGTCGCGTGTGTCCTGACTTTAATGATTCAGTGCTCATGTCTGAGGTGTTCCTTTGAGCTCCGAGGTGATGTGCATAAAACTTTTAGTCTGCTCCCAGGTGAACCAGGTTAAATATGAGGGCTCTGGTTTAAAGAAAGGACCAGACTGCATCCTGAGGGCTTCCCTCTGCCCCTGGGATTGGTTTCCACAGTCAAGTAGAGAGAAGGAAGTTGGATCGAATGAGGGGAGGGCTCAAGGCTGACCCCTCTTCCAATTACCACAGTTTCTGTCTGTATACAAAGCCTCTGTACACATTACAAGATTCCACTGGGCCCTGTTGGAGGAATGGCTCCCATGGCTTTCTTAATGATCTTTGTGGATATAGCTCTGATATTACATTGTGGGTGTTGAACATGTCAGTCAGGCTGGGTAGGGGTTCCTTACAGAGAAGGGCCTCGTCTAATTTAACAGCTGCTTCACTCCCTCATTGCTTCTTTCTACTGGATCTTAACAGATGTTTGTTGGGTTAAATTATAGATGATAGATGATGAAATGATACATAGTATACATAATTTTGTGGTATTATTAAAGCAGATTTTTGTCTTTTCAGCAAACCATTCCTCAAGCAACTGCAGCAAAATATCCCCGGACCATTCATCCTGAAAGTAGTACCTCAGCTTCCAGATCACTTGGAACCAGATCAGCTCACACCCCGTCTCTCACAAGCGTTCAGTCCATAAAAGTGGTTGACTAAAGTGAATATGTCCATAGTGGGGTCTTTTAATCCCTCTGGTCTTACCAAGGGTTAGAAGTCTTTTGTTTTTAACTTTTTCATATTGTTAGAACATCATGGATATATCACGTTCATCTGTTCAAAATTAACAAGAGACTTTTTCAAACTCTACCATGCTTTGTAACTATATGTAGAAATTATTTTAATGTTATTTTTTATTTAAGCAATTAAGTAAAACTTTTTTAAATTAAAAAAAAACTGGACTTTATTTTTTTAATATGTTTAGCCTGTTGCTGATTACATCATCAAAGTATATAAATTTATTTTCACTATTTATAAAACACTAAATTATTTCCAATATTACACAGCTGTAATTCACTCAAAGTGTTGAGGGAACCTTACTAAAAACAAAGTATTAGAACTAGTAGAAACTAGGATATTTTTATTTTTATTTTAAAAAGTTAAAGACCAAGTGTAATAATGATTTTTTTTTTTTTATTTAATTTTTTTGAGACAGAGTCTTGCTCTGTCGCCCAGGTTGGAGTGCAGTGGTGTGACCTCGGCTCACTGCCTCCTCCTCCCATGTTCAAGCGATTCTCCTGCCCCCGCCTCCCGAGTATCTGGGCCTCCCGAGTATCTGGGATTCCAAGTGCCAGCCACCAAGCCTGGCTAATTTTTGTATCTTTTTTAGTAGAGACGAGGTTTCATCATGTTGGCCGGGCTGGTCCCGAATTCCTGACCTCAAGTGATCCGCCCGCCTTAGCCTCCCAAAGTGCTGGGATTACAGGCGTGAGCCACCACTCCCGGCCCCAGGTTTTTTGTGGCTTTAGCATGTTAGTCTTCATTTTTCCAGGACTCTAACAGTTGAAAATAGACGGAAATGGCAACATCTATGCATCATTTTTTAAATGCCAAAAGGGAAAACATTTGTAATACTAGCACTAGAGTTACAGAAGTGTCAGAAATTTCTTGTTAGAATGATCCTGTTTCTGGTTTTCTTTCCCACCTTATTTGAAACTCTGCAGCACTGAACCTACCTTGTTCTCCCTGAACATCTAAACACTGTTCTGTGGTGGTGTGGCCCTGTGCAACTCAGCAAACCTAGGCCTGGGCAGAAATTTTTCAATGGCTGTCCAGTACAAAGAAACCATCTGGGCAGAACTGATTTTGGTGAACAAGACTTGGCTTCTAATGGTTTTATTGCTGACTGATTGTGTGGACCAGACAATTTAAATGAATCTCTGGATCCTCATCTGTGAAATAAGCGTAAAATCTACCTACTATTTCACAAGTACTTATGGAATACATAAAAATAAACAGGTTCTAAAGAGTCTGTCTAGGACCTCAATTTCCATATCTTTAACTGAGTGGATGGACTTAATCATCTGAAGCCTCTTCTAATTTGAATATAAGTTCTCTTACACTAATTTTTATTATGGGAAATAGGTTTTCTTGCTGCCTCACATTGTTCACAGGACATCAGAGAATAAGTGTGACATAGGCAAATAGAATCCCATTTTCTAATGGGGCCCGCTAAGGCCTTTCTGAATTATTATCAGGCTGTTTCTTAAAGGGTATTAGATATTTACACAACACTTGTTCTGGATTCTGGCCCAGCTACCCTTGTGGTAAACAGCTCCACCCCTCATGGGCTTCAGCAAGCTTTTCATGAACATAAACCACCAGCACCTCATCTCGCGCCCTTTGCGTGTGCTTGCTCTTCCTGGGCTTCTTCGTTCACTCCCAGTTGAGTCAGGAGAGTGCAGGCTCCACTGGGGAGCCCACTCATGCAGCACAGAATTAATACTTGGCATTGTGGTAAACAGACCAATTCTCCCTTCCTCTTCCCCTGTATGAATTGTCCTGAAATGCATTAGTATATTATGTCTCTCAGAATAGAGTAGCTCGAGATTAAATAATCAACTATACCTGTACCGAGTGATGGCCACTTAGGTAATTCACTTTGTTCTCACTCTCCCTCCTTCCGTGGACAACTCGCCTTTTTCCTCCACTCCTGCTTCCCCGGATGCACACTTCTGTAAAAGTTGTTGCACACAAACTTCGGTCTTAGACAAGCTCTACTTTTTGAGGATCTAGACTACAACCAGGAATGGTTTTCAGTATCCAAGCCAAAACAATATGGACAAACTAAAGTGAATATTATGAATGTGTGATTAAGAATATTATAAACATCTTTTTAAGCTTTAAGCTCTAGAAATGTATGTTGTCTAAAGCACCAAGCAATTAGTGTTGGCCTAAGTTAACATAAATTCAACAATTAAACATTTTACACAGTTATAGTATGTATTCATATTTGTTTCTTTTTGCATAAAGAGGTTACTCCAATCTGGTGGGGAGCAGTGATAAAGAGAGGTCAGTGGAAACTGGCCATACTGAAGAACAGATGGGACAAGACTTCTCAATACGTTTTTGAAAAATGTTTTGGAATCATATGAATCTATTACCTGTTTTAAAAATTCGTAAGATTGGCCGGGCGCGGTGGCTCAAGCCTGTAATCCCAGCACTTTGGGAGGCCGAGACGGGTGGATCACGAGGTCAGGAGATCGAGACCATCCACCGTGAAACCCCGTCTCTACTAAAAATACAAAAAACTAGCCGGGCGAGGTGGCGGGCGCCTGTAGTCCCAGCTACTCCGGAGGCTGAGGCAGGAGAATGGCGTAAACCCGGGAGGCGGAGCTTGCAGTGAGCTGAGATCCGGCCACTGCACTCCAGCCCGGGCTACAGAGCAAGACTCCGTCTCAAAAAAAAAAAAAAAAAAAAAAAAAAAAAAAAAAAATTCGTAAGATTAAGTGGGCCACTTATAATCAGTATGAGACAAAGACATAAAACTATAAATTCATGACAGAATAACTGGATTGAAATTGCTTATGGTTTTATTATGTGCCTTGTAAATTTAGAGTCAGAATCCGAAAATGGAGAGTCTTAAATTCCAATGAATAGGTGCACATAAACCGACACAAATTGATACTCGATTTTACATTTATTTCACAACTCTCAGATTACAAAAATAATGCATGTTCATTGTGAAAAAAATTGAATGTACCCAAAAGTACAAAGAAAATTATCATCAGTAATTACATCACCACAAGATTAAAAAAAAAAATTGGTGTACATACTTCTGGTCTTCCCTAAGTAATATATTACACATTATGTGTGATTTAAAGTCAACAATGACTATAAATTTCCAAACCCAGTTTCTCTTACTGAAAGAGAAATAACAGTTGATTTCCATACTGTGGGCATGAGGCTAGGCATTTCACAGGCATTTTCCCTTCATCTCTACTCCAACCCTGTGGATTAAATAGACATTTGTCCCAGTTTATAGAGAAGGAAACTGAAGATCTAAGAACTTAAACAACATTAACATGCCCAAAGGTTCACATCTAATAAGTGGCAAAACCAAGTTCAAAACTATATTCGTCTATTGTAAAAACCGTTGGTTTTTTACTGTACCATGATGCTGCTCCCATGAATTTTTAGAAAAAAACATGACATACAAAACCCTCCTAGATTATCTTATTACATGTGTTACATCAAATGACAGAAATGGGAAAATGATATATAACTTGCCCTCAGCAAAAAAACTGTATTTGGCTTTTTAGAGGTTGAAAAGTATCATGGTATTACTCGTCTTTCACCTGTTACAGTACCCTGTCACCACCATCATCATAGTTGAAAATCAGTGCTACTGCTAGGAGAAATTTATGGCATTAAAAGAACTGAATGCTGAGTGGAAGATCATGTAAATACAATTTCTTTGGGCATTTATGAAACTACACATTTCTTGGAGTTTAAGTCAGTTTTGCTTTTGAAATGACGAGTCTTTTCTGGAAAAAAATAAGATAACATTGATTAATACCTAACGTTTTTAAAGCACTTATTGTCTACTAGGCACTATTGTTCATTAAATCCCACAACAGCCCTTTGAAGTAAACATTTTTATTTTCTTTCCTAGTTAATAAATGAGAAGGTTGTCACAGGGAGGTCATAGAACTTGCTCAAGATTTACAAGCAGTCAGCTTTGGAGTTCAAGAGTGAGCTCACACAGCCTTGCGTCAGAATACATACCCTTAGCCAGTTCAGTGGACTGCATCTGTGTCTTCTCTGAGAGTTCTTATGGAACCTCTTTCATAGGAAGAATACATTTAACCCTTTTCCCTTTTAGAAAAAAAGTGCAGCTCACTGCCAGCGCTTCTTTAATTTTACATAAACACACTCTTTGAGGCTGAAGCAAATCTGACTGATTTTCAATGTGAAAAACAAATATAAAAACTGTTCTTGGAGTTATTTCTAAACAGAACTAACATCAGAATAGTCTGAATCATCCGAATCGTCAATTTCCGAAAAATCGGATTCACTGAATGAATCTTTGGCCAACAATTGTTTGAGAACGACGTCAACATCACATGTAGGAATGCTACATTTTCTAGGACTTGACATTTTCAACCATCAAGAATTTCCATATTTTGTAAATGGAAATATCACTACTAAAAACAGAATGCTGTAAGTAGAATGATGTATTTTGTTTCCAAAGTCGATATACTAGAGCAATGCAAAAATAATAATAAAAGCAAGATAATTCATGGCAAAGTTTTCTCGGGGTAAATGCTGCAAGCACCGCTGGCGAATATTCTCGGGGCCAATGGGAACAGGGTTAAAGTTGAGGGAACAACTCCAATATTATGAGATGGTGTGATGGAAGGTAGGTATCCACACACTGTTCCTTGTACCTACTACTGCTAGAAACTGTTGGATCAGTCGGTGTTCACTCATTTATCTTCTTGCTCCAGGTAAAACTGCTTCAGTGAAAATAATGGCAGATGTTCCTGTTTTTTGCTTGAATGCTTGTTATTATATGAGAGTTATAACACCTCCTAATTTATTGATAAGCTCTTAAAGGATCTTTCCTGACAAGATGGTCAGTGATTTCGGCCGAGTGATTTTTAGCAATAACCACAGGTGGCAAAGTAATAGCCTGTCTGCTCTTTTTGTTCCACCTAGAGATAACATTTTCAAATACACTAACCTGCAGTTTCTCAACTGGGGTAAAATGGCATTTTGAGAAGACAACTCTTAGTTGTGGAGAACAATCTTGTAACTGTATGGGATGGTTTAGCACTTCTTCCCCGCCCCACCCGCCCCCACCACACATATGCATAAACAGAAACACTCCCACACTTTTTCAAATGCCGAGTAGGGGGATGACACAGAACTGCCCGGCTAAGGAGTAACCAGTATTGACTGGGTCATTCCCCATAGGAGAAGCTGCTGACAGCTTACAAGCCCCTTCCATAGTTCCATACTCCATGTGAGCCACAGCTAACACCACCCTGGGACTGCAGCTGGTCAGGATGGTGTTTCTGTAGACTGCTTTCTGACATTTTAAGGGAGAAAGAATTTCTGTTTGTTGAAATTGTCACCTACCAGCTAGTTTTGGGAAACCTGCGTGTACCAGCTCTTCATACAGGTGCTTGGCCGGATCAGCCTGAGTCATCAGGGTCCCATGTAGCCAGATAAGCAGAGCCCTGTGGCCATGTTCACGGAAGCTTTCATTTCCTGTGCCAAGCACAAGAGGTCCGAGGTAAAACACCACGAGCTGCTATCTCTTTCCATTGTGATCTCGGTTCCAACTAAACTTTCTGAATGACTGTGGTTGCACATGTCTGTTCCTCTTCGAAAAAAGCCCTTCCAGTTGCCCTCGCTGTGCTGCTTTATGATGACCAGCGTTTGCATTCCCTCCAACTCTTGGCTCGCACCTACTGTGCTTGGCACACACCCAAAGGAATGTACAAGAGAGAGGACAGCTGTGGTGCCTGCCCAGTGGTAACAATTTTAATGAGATGTGCAACTTCTCATAGACCAATGCTCCTCAAACTCCCAGTGCTTATTTCACCTGGGTATCTTAATAAAATGCATGTTCGGATTCAGTAGGTCTGGGGTAAGAATCCATGCATCTAACAAACTCCCGGGTGCTGCTGCCACTGCTGCTCCATATTCCCCACTCTGAGCAGCAAGCACGCACCATTCATTCTGCCACTCCAGTTTCAAGAAAGCTACTCTGAGGGAAGTTTGCATCCCTGGGCCAGGATTATGCATTTGACAAATACTCACTGGATGTCTCAGCCTGGACAGGTGTTGGGGGAAGTACTGGGATAGGGAGCCACAAAGCCACTGTGGTTCCCAACAGGATGTCACTACAGGCTCCTTGCTCTGAGAAACAGTGTGCAGGAGCAGACATGCTGTGCAAAGGAAGGGCCTGAGCTCTGCAGGGGTGAGGGAGAAGTTCACTGGACAGACTGTTACAGAGAGGCAGGCTTTTCAGGGAGAGGGAACTACATGCTTACAGAATGTACTCCTGGACAAGTCCTCTGTTCCTTTCCTAATCTTGCTCTTGACAAACTAATTTGTCTAAAATACCATCATGAGTCTTGTTACTCCTCTGCTCAAAAGCCCACAAACTCCCCATTGCCGGCAACCTTACCCTGAATATAAGGGTACATTACAATATAATGTACCCTGGACATTTACAATATAATTGAATTGTAAATGTCATTGTTATTGTGCCAACTAGATTATAAACTCCATCAAACATGCATGGCTTAGAGAGCTGATGTATCTGTCCCTCATCCAGCAGAGAAACACTCCAGGCCCTCCATAAAGGTTCCATCGAAACACTTTAAAATCTCCCTTGTCCTGCTGGCAAGTACTCTGAAGATAACACTGTATTTTCCAGTCATCTCTTTTGGTCAAGATAGAGTTCCAGGAGGCAACTCAATTTTCCTAAAGACTTCACACAACACTATAAGCCTAACTAATGACAAAAAAGAAATCTCAACAATAAAAAAAATTTTCTAGTTAGAAACTAGTATTTAATGTTTTCAATATATTATCGTCTATTTTTCACATGAAAATGAATCCTAAGAATGTGCAATACGAAGTCTCATATACTTGTATGTGGTATAAATAGTGTGTGCTCACAGGCTGTGCTTCTGCTATCCCCAGTTCCCAGCAATCCCTGGTACAAATCGACCCCTGAGCAAGGACACCTTCTCGTCTTAGGATGTCCATGAGAGGGCTGTGCTCTGAATAAAACACTTTGCCAAGAAACGTGTTTGCTTCATTGTTTTCAAAGCTAATTAGTTGATTAATGCCAAGTAAACTTTCTATGTTTCCTAGGTTTTCGTCTAACTACAAAAAAGCAAAATTAAGGAATCTAGCTGACCTGACCTCACTAATTCTGACAGTTTGAGTCCACCTGAAATGATTCCATTGCTTGGAATCATCTAGCCAAGAAAGCCCTCTAAGTCTATATTCCCCGTGTCTCTCATGGGACAGCCAAGTCTCCCCTAAGGCAGCGTCCTACGAGAACCCTTTCTCTCCCACCCACCTGGTTTAAGGAATTCCTCTTTCTGGAGCGCGGATTTAAACAGTGAGTCTATTGATTACAGAATAAACCCATTCACCCCAGGACAGTCTCAAGGAACATAGAAATCAGACTGGCTTCCCACTGACACACCAACTGTTAAATCCTTGCTTCCTTAAGTGACTGTCCAGTTGGGAACCTTAATTTCTCTCTAAGCTAAATGCCACATGTTTGATATGGCTCAATAAATATAATCATCCCTTGCAAACTTCAGTTTACTGCAGACCATGCACATTCACTTTCTGCAAATCTTAACACCCAAATCACTGGTATGGATTTAAGCTAGCTGCCCCTATTCCTGGGCCCCTCGAAGACTGCGGCTTATTGTGAGTGCCACGCACTTCCTTGGAAGACCCCACACCAGGAGGCACTGCTGTTCCTAACAGTGACTTCCTCCTGCCCACATCACCTGGTCCGTACTCACCTGACCACTGTGCCTCAATGGCTCTAATCTGGTCATCTGTAAAGTTCCACGAACGGGCCAGCCTCTGCCACTCATTGGCCTTCAGCTGATGGTAAGCCAGGCCCCAGAGGAGCGTGCGAATGTGTCTGGTCTCCAGACTGTGGTCTTGCTTGAATGTCAGAGGAAAGCCTGTTGATGGGTCCCCGATGCTCTCATGATGCTCCTAAAGTGAAAATAATTTATCAGAAGATTTCAGACATGTTCTACTGATTACCTTATTTCAGAGTATATATGTTTTTCATACATAACTAGTAAGGTGTTCACTGAGACTATGTTTTCAATGCCATCTGTCACTGGATCATTTTTTTTTTTTTTGACATCCAAAATGGAAACAAATGCTTGAAATTAAAAGCTTGGGTACCGTCTGTCTGACACAGGAAATGTGAGGGATTTTGCCTATTGTGTCCCATGCTGCTTAGAACAGAGAATGAGAACAGAGAGGCTGTCTTGGGAAAGGATGTGTCACAACAACAAAACCATCTTTAATGGCCTTTGTTTGAACCCACACCCCCTTTTCTTCTTTTGGGTATTTGATGTTCTCATATCGAAGCTTCGGTGAGCCCAGATTGGCTGTATCCTTAATAAGACCCCATAGATGGTCCCTCATTCATCCTGCTCTCTGGTGAGCATGAGGAGAGCAAACTAGGAGCCTAGCTCAGGGTGGGGCTTGGGAAGAGGTGACCCAGGGGGTGGAGAGGACAGGAGTGGACGTCATTTAAAGTCACTGCAGCCAGACTCAGCCCAACAGCGCTATGCCTAGATTGGCAAGGTTCCTTTTGTCCCTTCAGCAGAATCCACCAGAGTCCTGCAGAATCAAACCACAAACACTGGAGAAAATCACTGAGTGAAAGCAGGCAGCGCCGCTTCCTAGAACTGTATGTTGTGCTTATGCCAGTAGGTCTCCAGGTTATCCTCCTGCAGAAGGTTGCAGATCAGTTAAGGACGCGTAGGACACGCGGCCCACCAAGAAGTCTGGGACTTCCTACTTACCTCTCCTTTTTCATGTATAGTGACTTCTATTTTTGTCTTTCCCTTAAATAGAGGTGTATCTTAATGAAAATGTTCTTAACAACAAGATGGGAATCAAGGCTGGGGCAGGAAATGAACCAAAAGTGTCTAGGACCCTGGGTTTCAACACTGATGAGAAGAACTTGATGGGCCCCCACCATGGATCCTTCACAGCATCAGCAACCTCCTCCAGGAATCTCAACAAGGGAAGCACAATAAGCTCCTCCTGGGAAGCTTGGCCAAGAAGGGCAAAATCTTCCTCTAGTATCTGAACTTTGTGTATAGAAGTTGGAAGAGGAATGGGAGGTGTGAACTACCCATAATTGTTTTAGGGACTGTAAAAAGCAGGGTCTTCTCCAACCCAACCTCAGCTTTACTTCCACAGTGCCTAGCTCCCAGGAATTCCAAAAGAAGTAAGGTTGAGGATGGGGAGATCCAACAAACTTGGGAGCTGCAGCCCACTTCACTTTGTCCTTCTCTCCTCATTCCATCTCCTGAAACAATGACGAATCCAACAAGAACAAAAGCCTAAACGTCACAAGGGAAAGGGAAGAACACAAAATGCTTCTGCATTTATCTTTGTGCGATAACATTTTTAGTTCTTCAAGAAACTTACATGGTTTGTGCATTTCAGGATTGGATTGTGTGGTCCCTTAGGCTTCCATTGAAAAGGGCAGGAGATTTGGAAAGTCTAGGTCTTTTTCAGCAGCCAGTGAAAGCATTAAATAGCTTGCCTGCCAAAGCACTGAACTATTTGCAGGAATAACATGAGCCAGAACTGGTGGAAATTAAAATAACATAAGTCAGGTTTTAGGAAGCTCCCATTTGCCTCTGAACCACTGAATTCAATGATGGATGATTGGGTGGTTAGGTTAAAGGATAAACGAATATAAGAGAGGAATTTAAATCATATCTTTAATCCTTTTACTAGGAACCATTTTATATTAGCCAAGGATATAAACTTGTTCAATGAACAAAGATAATTTAAAATAATAAATGCATTTGGTTAAAAAAATGTTTAAAGATACATCTTAAAAAACCAGTATTTCTCCCACTCCAGACCCCAGGATCCCAATTGTCACCAGAGTTAACAACTCTTACCATTTCTGGGGGTTTCCTTTAGCTATACTCATGTATTATGTATGGTTTTCAAAGTATACCTACCTCTTATGTCTTAAAGATTCATTAGGAAAGAGGGCGTATTCATTTGGTGGGAAAGTAATTTATTCTCATCTACCCAAAATAATTTTTAAAAAGCTATCAGGAATTAAAAATAGAACCAATGAATATTTCTATTTCCAAAGAAAATGTGAAAGCAAGTTAAAGAGAAAGAGAAAAGATGGAACTTGGTAAAGTTGTCTTCAATAAAATACAATGGTAATTTAAGAAATTGAGCCTGAGGATATAGGAAAAGAGGAAGAGGTAAAGGGAGGAGATGGAAGAACGTAGAATATGATGAATGGGAGAGAAGAAACAGAGAGTTCCAATTGTTAAAATTTAAAAAAAAAAAGTTTTACAAGCAAAGCACCTTTTTTTCTGTTTTGTTTTACAGGCAAGAAAAGTTGCAAGGAGGATGGTGTGACCTTTAAAAGAATCCATATATATCAAGACTACCAAGCTAATTAAACAGGATTGTGAGAGAGAAGGAGATGAGTAAATGCTTTTTGCTTTAAGGATTTAAGGGAAATTTCCCAGGACTGGCCAGGTGGACAGCAATCCACGTTCGTAGAAATTCAGGGTGGGCCTCAAGTGATTAGGGCCTGAATTCTGGAGCTAACACATTGGGCCAGGGGTAGCCATGCAGCCTAGAATGGAAACAACACATCAGTAGAATGGAAACCACACATCACTGTAAGTCAAGAATGGTGCCTGGCAGTGCCATTCTTGCCTGAGGGCATAGAGTTGAATCTTGCAGGGGAGGGCAGTCTATTGAGAAGCTGCATGGGTAGCAGATATCAGAGAAAATAAAAATAAAAGAACAGCAAAAAGAATGACTTACAGACAAGTTTTTTTGCGTTCTTAGATGAATAAGGTTTTCGTGACTCTCACAGAATACTTGAGTGCCCGAAAGCACGCACAGGGGTGTGTTGAAAACTGCGGAGCCACAGAAAGGAGTTTTTTAAACCACTCATTCGTGCTTCTGGGAATAGCTCATGGCCAGACTCTGGACAGAGGGCACAACCAGGGCGTCACCCATCAGGGCTCACACGCTAGGTCCATTAGAGCCAGCCTGGACAATGCCCCTTGGCCCTAGTGAACTCTACGCACTCAGTTCTGACGTCTGATGTCAGCAAAGGAAGAGGCAGATGTTCATTCCGTGAATGGGGCAGAACAAGACAGAAGGGAGAGTTATAATTGTACTGACCAGGACTCTGCTCATTAGAGCAAAGAATGGCACAGACCCTGCACTGCCCCTCAAGAAGAAGAGTGTTGCCAGGAGAGCCCCTGCTGTGCTGGGATCGGCCTTCCTTACCTCTCTCCAGGCGTAGTATCTCTCTGCTTTAATGAGCATGTCCACCACAAGGCTATGGTTGCTCCTGGAGGCCACAGCCAGGGCAGTCTTTCCTTGCTAAAATTAAAAAAGAAAAAAAATTCAGGTGGTATGTCCTAGTGATTAGGAGCTCTAGTTTTGGAACAAGGGGGCCTGGGTTCAAATCTTGATTCTACCAGCCCATGCTGGGTAAATTTAGGCCAGTCCTTTGCTTCTTTGGGTCTTTATAACTACCCCATAGTGGAGTGGTCAGGGGTAAATGTGATAATGCATATAAAGCCTTTAGAACATGTGCTACCCTGAACATTTCCTAGCCTCGTTTGCAGTTAGATATGTGACCTAAGTTCTGGCCAACAGTCTTTAGATAGAAGTGGGACATGCAACTTTTGGGAAGTATCTTTAAACAGAAGAGGGATGAACGGCATTTTCCTTCTTCTCTTCTCCCTCCTGAGTGGAATGCTGACATGATGGCAGGAGCCTGAACAGCCACTTTAGACCAGGAAGTAGAAGTCACGTTTTGAGGAGCATTCAGTAATAAGACAGAAAATGGCTGGATCTTATTAAGAATAATATCAATAATGGCAACGCTGGTAATTCATAGGTCAGTGGACCCCTATCTAAAATTTTTTCTATTACACCATACTGCCTCCAACCAAACGTGAGAGGTTTGAATCTTAAAAATGGAATGATCAACAAGCGCTGTTCTGGACATAATTTTGAGAATGAACTGCCTGGAGCCCACATGGTATTTTAGACAAATTACAAAAAGGTACACTTTTCGCAAGATGGACAGAGCTCAAAGCCAGGGCATAGAGATTTGCAAGCAGAATCCTCTGGATTTCATCAAGTGCACCACTTCTACATCTAAACATTTTACCCTGAGCAAAGGATGCTCGTTCTCATTTCCTTTTCAAATGCCCCATGAAGAATTTGCTCAGAAAACAATGAAAATTAATAGTCAGAAAAGACCCAAGAAGTTCCAATCTCAGGAACCCTTATGCTTCCAGAAATATATCCCAAGTATTATCTTACATGGTTAGATATTCGCAATGAGTGCAATTCCCACCAATATAAATGATTTGGTTCATAGTCTAGGCGCTAAGACCCAGGCGAGCAGGAAAATTAGGGCTGAAAGTAATCAGCCTCTAATCAAAAGAGAAAGTAATGAAATTAGGAAGAACTGCATTTTGCAGGCATTTAGCAAGCCTCTAATTGTATGCTGTCTACATTCTGGCTTGTAAAGCCATTTGAATCACCATAATTAGCCTGCTTTGAGAAGGCAGCATTCTGAGAGCCAGAGTTTCCAAGTTCATAGGAAAATTTTCCTAGGGAATATATGCTGGAGTGAAAATCCAAACACTTCTGCCCTTAGGGGTTGGGAGGTAGCATGGATAGAAGGTTCTCTGAGAGCTTTTTGACACCTCAGGCCAAGAGGACAAGCAGAGAACAAGCTGCTGGGAAAGTCAAATTTATACCAAACTTTGGTTCCTTATTTCCTAACCAGACCCTAACATGGTCCTAGAAACACTTTTCTTTGGCAAAAATGAAAATAAAAATAAATTGTGGGAGCCAATAGAAAAGATATTTTTTAATCATTAATTAACTACGTATTGGGTGCCAACTATGTGCCAGACCTTGAAAAGAAAGGAGAAGAAGGGAAATCTGGGAAAATCAAATTATGAGGCCCAGTAAACTGTGAGTTCTTGTTTTGAAAACAAAGTCAAATGGTAGCATTGACTGTTTACTGGAATATCTAGTCCACTAAGCACCGGGGACCCCAATGTAAATCCCTGCCCAATGGTATAGATTTTGTACCCACAGAATGGCTCTGGGTGTATTAAGTATTCATGAAAAACTAAAATAAATTACAAAACAACAGCATTAGAAAATATTACTGCTAAATATTAAACCAAGTTAACCAGGTACAACTGGTGAAAGTGGTGGAATTCCACACAAGTGATAACATTATGGGTTTGTGTTTTCCTTCCTTAAGCTTTTCTATGTGTTCTAAATTGTCCACAGTGGGCTTGTGTTACTTTTTTTTTTTTTGAGGCGGAGTTTTGCTCTTTTGCCCAGACTGGAGGGCATTGGCACGATATCGGCTCACTGCAACCTCTGCCTTCAGGTTTCAGGTGATTCTTCTGTCTCAGCCCCCCCGTGTAGCTGTGATTACAGGCGCCCAACACCACGCCTGGCTGATTTTTGTATTTTTAGTAGAGATGCGATTTCACCATGTTGGTCAAACTCCTGACCTCGTGATGTGCCCGCCTTGACCTCCCAAACTGCTGGGATTACAGGAGTGAGCCACTGCACCCAGCCGGCCTGTGTTACTTTTATGATCAGAAAAAAAAAAAAAATCTAATTTTAGAAACTGACACACAGAGAAAAGTAATATATAACTACTTTAGATCTTACACATGTAAAATGGATGATTCTGAACTAGAGTAGGGTGGATTCAGGCTTGCACTGTGAATTAGGGAGGTGCTGGCTATTGAACTATGTGGGTAAAAATGAGGAAGGGAAAACTGCAAGTTTCGGAAGCAGTCATCTTTGCTGACAGTTGTAGCAAAGCACCAGATGGCAGAGCAGCCACTACTTGGGTTTGAAGCCAGCTCTGCCTCTTACTATGTGTGTGACCCAATGTCATCAGAATCTGTCCAATCTACTCTTGAAAACTGGAGTAATTTTGTCCACCTCACTGAGATGTGAGGATTGAAGTAATATGGCATGCATGAGTACCTGACAGGGCTGTATCCAGGGGCCTCCTGTATAACTTTCAGTAAAGCTGAAACCTAACACAGCTCTCTGACAACCCTCCGGAGGCTTAGCCTGCACTGTTGCACCACTTGAAAGAAACAAAATTGTCCTTCTTTAAAAACAAGTTTACACAATAGCCAAAAGGTGGACACAACCCAAATGTCCATCAATGGATGAATGATTAAACAAAATGTGGTAGAGACATACAACGAAATGTTACTTAGCCTTAAAAAGAAATGAAATTCTGACACATGCTACAACATAGATAAACCTTGAAGACGCTACACTAAGTCAACTAAGCCAGTCACAAAAAGGCAAATACCATGTGATTCCACTTATATGAGATGCTTAGAGTGGTCAAATTCATAGAAACAGAAAGCAGAATGGTGGTTCCCAGGGGCTGGGAGAAGGAAGAAATGGCCAGTTATTGAACAAGTATAAAGTTTCACTTTTGCAAGATGAAAAGTTTTGGAGACCAGTTGCATAACAATGTGAACATACTTAACCATACTGAACTATATACTTAAAAATGGTTAAGACAGTGTTTATGTATGTGTATTTTACCACAAATTTTTTAATTAAAAAAAAAATTTAGACATATGTAAAGTCATTCATTGCAACTCTGTTTATAAGAGCAAAACCTTAGGAACAACTTATATGTCAGTCAATTGAGGACTAGTTGAACAAGTTGTGATATGTCTGTGCCATGCTATACAATGCAGCTCAAAAAAAAAAAAATGAAGGAACTCTCTATGTACTAATATGCAAATATCTCCACTTAATAATGCTAAAAAAGCTAAATGCAGAACAGTATACTAGTTATAGGTAAGCCATCAGTGTCTAAAAAGGATGGAGGAAGGGAATAAGAGTACAATGTGTTTATGTTTGCTTGCATGTGCATAAAAAACTCTGGAAGGAACAGAAATAATTTATAATAACGGATACATATAGGCAGGGTGGTATGGTAACCAGACAAGTAGGAACAGGGGTGGGTGGGAAATTTTTACTGTTAAACCCTTACTAGTTATATTCTTTTATTTTTGGACCATATGAATCTATAATCTTTTCAAAAATTTAATAAAGAATTTGAATTTAAAAACACATATTTGTCATTCAAAGTAAAAATTCTTACTGACATAGCTCAACCAAAACTGGGATATTTTACTGACTATGAAGATACACGGTTTCTCCAGTTTGTGCCCATTTCACAAAAGATATTCCAATGCCTCTGCTCAAGGCTGAGAGCCAAAGGGAAGGTCTTAGCAACCATCTCAGCTGAATGGATTAAGTCTATGCACTTACCTTGTCAACAGCCTTCAAGTCACAGCCTGCCTTCAGCAGGGTTTCCACCAGTTCCACATTTCCACAATCAGCAGCTACATGCAGAGGGGTTTGTTGCTTCTGCCATGAAATTAAGGAGGGGAACAAACTTGGACGGTGAAAAGACAAATGGAAAGTATAGCCATCCTATTTAGGCTCAAGGGAAAACACAGGTTGTACATTCTTTAATGGATACTGGGGCATTCATTGCAGTATTATTTTCAATAGTGAAAAACTGAAAGGAAATTACATGTTTAACAAGGAGACTCACTAGATAAATTATGATACATCTGTATATTGGAATAATAGGCAACCATTAAAAATTACTTTTTTAAAAATGATTTCAATATTAGGTACCTAAAGTAGTCGAATGTATAGAGACAGAAAGTAGAATGGTGGTTCCCAGGAGCTGGATGAGGAGGGAAGTCACTGTTTAAGAGATATAAAATTTCAGTTTGAGAAGATGAAAAATGTTCTGGAGATGGATGGTGGTGATATTATACCAAAAGAATGTAATTAATGCTGCTGAACTGTACACTTAAGACGGTTAAAATGGTGGATTTTGTTATGCGTATTTTACTACAATAAAAATGATTTCAAAGATTTTTTGAAAATAAAAAATGCTTTTGATATAATGTTTGAAACTTCAGGAAATGATACTATCTAGTTGAGCTTGATTTAATTAAAACTACATATAGAGAAAGAGAAGAAAATACAGTACAGAAAAATGCTAATGCTAAGGTCTAGATGAAGGGATTAGAGTTTATTTTATTGCCTTCCGAATGCATTTCTCTGTTCTCTAAATTTTCTACATTATAATGTATAAAGGAGTTCAAGACTTCTAATTTCCTTCTGGAGTAATCATTTTCCTATTAAGATGATAAGAGTTTCAAAAGAAATATCCGAAATCCCAAGAAAATCACCCATCTTAACCTCTCACCAAAAGGAATGCAGTTGTGAAGAGATTTCTAAAATATTAGGGCAGAGAGGAGCCTTAGATGTGATCAGCCCAACTCCTTAACCAGAAAAGGGAAGCAGCTTCCCAGGGTCACAGAGCTGGGCAATAGCACGTGGCCCACTACTCCTCCCACCAGAGCACAGGGCCAGTATGCTGGGGATATTACCAAAAAACATTTATTTATTTATATTTTTATTTTTTTCTGAGAGACAGTTGCTTACTCTGTCATTTAGACTGGAGTACAGTAGCATGATAGTAGCTCACTGTAACCTGGAACTCCTGGGCTCAAGCAATCCTCCCTTCTCAGTTTCCTGAGTAGCTGAGACTACAGGCCTACAGGCTCTACTATTTTTTTTTTTTTTTTTTTTTTTTTTTTTTTTTTTTGTAGAGATGAAGTCTCGCTATGTTGCCCAGGTTGGTTTCAAACCTGGCCTCAGGTGATCCTCCTATCTTGGCCATCCAAAGTGTTGGGATTACAGGTGTGACCCAAAACACCTGGCCTCCAAAAAGCCTTTTTTTTTTCTTCTTGAGATGGAGTCTCACTCTGTCGCCCAGGCTGGAGAGCAGTGGTGCGATCTCAGCTCACTGCAACCTCCACCTCCTGAGTTCAAGCGATTCTTCTGCCTCAGTCTCCCAAGTAGCTGGGATTACAGGCACCCAGCTAATTTTTTGTATTTTTAGTAGAGACAGGGTTTCACTATGTTGGCCGGGCTTGTCTCAAACTCCTGACCTCGTGATCCACCTGCCTCAGCCTCCCAAAGTGCTGGGATTACAGGCGTGAGCCACCGCACCTCGCCCCAAAAAGCATTTCTTAAAGACTCACCTTCAAATGTCAGTGTGTCTAGGTGTTTGTCATTGAAGACATTACACTTATACTGACACGCCTACCAAAGATCTCTACCGACATGGAACAAAGGTGAAAATGGAATGTATCAAATCCAACAACACCCATTTTAACAATAATGCTACAAGTCTGGAAGGCAGGAAATGCACTAAAACATTAACAAGAGTTATCTTTCTTTGCTGGGTACTTAAAACACATTAAGTCTTTTTAGCTTTTTAAAAAATTTTACATACATATTTTACATTTAAAATATAAAATTTCCTATTTTTTATGCTTATTCTTGGTCTAATAAAAAATTAAAGTGATGAAGTCTGGTTCTGTAAAAGGATAGCAAGCCTAACAAACACTCCTTCCCTAGAGTACCTCTAGCCAGTTCTGTCAAAACCAGTATCACATGTGAGCACAAGGCTCTGTCTGTGTATTTAGCAAAGATTTTGCCCATTGGGAAAGATTTTAGATATTAACATAGTTGAATACATAAGCATATTTAATAACAAGAGGAGATTTTTTTTCCCCCCCAAAAAACTTTTGGGATAGGTAAAGGCAAAGGAGGAGGCTAGGTTCCCTGGAGGAGAGAAGGGACAGAAGTACAGGTAAATCTTCATTCAGCTCAGAGCAAAATTGAGCTCATAGGTGGGAATGGGAGGAGACTGCAGAGATCTGAGTCAATGCTCTGGTTTCACAGTGCATTAGGACAGGCAGGCACGCCCACTGCACCGTGGCTCCTCCCTAAGCCGGAGGGGCGCCGCAGAGGCTTCTCTGGGAAGAGGCAGCCGGAAGGTCTCATCTGGCCTCAGGACCCTGGAAAGGCTCCTCTTCCACTCCCCTACGTATCCTGGAAGAGGGCAGGCCAGCCCCAGAAGAGCCCCAGAGAGCAGGCTCATCAGTGCCCACCCCCATTCTCTTCGTCCTTCCGCTGCGGCATTCCCATTTCCAGCCAGTAATGGATTGCTTTAATGAGTCATTTGATTCTGCTTCAGTTGACTGAACTTGGGGTGATTTTTCTTTTATTCCAAGAGGTCTCTTTTGCCTTTAGGCAAAGAGAAGACACATTTACTGTCTTCAATATAGAAACAAAGCTTCCTTCTTGTGGGGGAAAGGCTCCCTGCCAATTACAATATTTCACTCTGGGGGAGTGGCTTTTGATTTAAAGAGCCTCTGGCCATTTAGCTCTGAGCTACTGTTTTTCTATCAAAAGTGCTGGGCCTGTTAAACATGTAAGATTTAATCATGCACTGGCTGAACTCCAGTTGTGTGGCTGAGAAAGACAAAAGTATGTGTGTGGTCATGGGGATGGAGTGAGAGTTACACAAGGAAAAGGATAAAAAGGATGCACATGTTCCTCCCAGGAATTTTTAGGTACCTCGAACTTGATCAAAACTCCCCCTAAACACCCACTGTGTTGAAATATAAGAAAAGAGACCCTCCAGGCTCTGATTTTCTTGGCTTACCTGATTTAATATGTTAATATCATGCTGTGCACTTAATAAGCTGTTTACAACCGTGATGTGGTTGTTGATAACAGCTAAATGAAGAGGAGACTCCTTAGGCTGCAGAGAGAAATAAAAATTTCAAATCCAAAAGGTTCTGGTTTCATCATTCAAATCAAAAAGCAACTCATTTCAGCAGCTATTTCCTGATGATCTCCCAAGTACTGAAACTACCCATCCCAGTGGTGACCCTTAGTAAGTATTCAGCATTTGTGGTCATCTCAAGGCTTTGAAGCAAACTCGCTCCCCGGCAATCAGCTCACCCCCTTCGTTCTTTCTGGAGCAACATACTAAGCACCTACTATGGGCCAAGCTCTTTTCAGGTTGCCAGGGATTTAACATGAACAAAGCTCATTCTCAGGAATCTTTCAGTCTAGTGGGGTAAGCAAATATTAACTTTTTTTAAGTCACACAAATACGGTATACAATTAAGTGCTTTAGAAGTAGAAGAGCCAGTGTGGGGATAGGGGGAAGGCTGACCTTTCGGGAGGCCAGAAAAGACTTTTCTGAAGAACTGACATTTAAGCTCAAATATGAAGGAGAAGTAAGTGTTAAATAGGCCAAACCGCAGGACTTCTCAGAGCCTTCAAAGAGCTAAAGGGCAATGAGAGTAGCCACAAGGGCAAAATCATTGCACCGTTGGCATTTCCTGAATTGATTTGTTCTGGAGCCCTTACTCCTTAGTGTGTCCTATAGGACTGGAGTCCCCCTTACTCAGGGGCACCATCCTCGTGCTCAGCTCTCCCCGCATAGAGTCCAGCCACAGGATGTTCCCCAAGCCCTCTGCAGCCTGCTCTCCTGTTCTCCTTTGTGGCTAAAACACCTACACCTGTCTTCCCAGCCACAGCCCCCTCTCACCCATCCCCATCACTGGCTTCTTACCCGGCCCTGCTAGGTCGCAGTGCCTATGTCTACCCCCAACACTTTGCCTCCAGGCTCCCGTGCTGCTGCAGTCCCACCCAGCTGCCACTGGCCTGTGGAGACGTGAGAGGAGACATGCCTCCAGGAGTAGAGTCAGCTGAGAGTGGGGAAAAGGGAGGGAAGAAGCAATGAAGGGAAGTGAGGGCAGAAGCGATTAAGGCATGAGAGAGAGGGAAGTGAGGGGCATCCAGCATGATGAGGGAGGGAGGACACCAGGGGGAGGTGGACAGGGGTGTGACAGCAAGGGCTGAAGATCCAGTGACACCGTGCAGATCAGGAGCCGAGCTGAGTGTGGAGCGAGTGGCGAGAGAGAACAAGCGCCTACGAGGGTGAGTGACTAGGGCAAGTGCAGCGTTGCTCAAGTGGAACAGCTGATATTCATGATATGCATCAGACACACTCAGCACATTCTCATCGTGGTGCTTATTACACGCTCAATTCCCCAACTGTTTCTTTTATTTTTTTTTCAGAGATGGGGTCTCACTCTGTTGCCCAGGCTAGAGGGCAATGGAGCCATTGTCATTCACTGTAACCTGAAACTCCTGGGTTCAAGCAAACCTCCCACCTCAGCCTCCCGAGTAGCTGGGGCTACAGGCATGCACCACTGTGCCTGGCTAATTTTTAAATTTTTGTAGAGATGGGGTCTTGCCATGTTGCCCAGGCTGCCCTAACAGTTTATACTCTGTTTTAAACACCAGGCTGACAGTTTTTCAGAGATCACATCAATAACCCTAGACATTCAATCTCATATTCCCCACTTCATACATGAGACACAAAGAGGATCAGTAACTTCCACAAGGCCATGCAGCAAGGAAGTGGCAGACACAGGACGTGAACCCAGACCTTTCTGACTCTACCATCTGCACCAGGCTCTGTCTCAGGAGATGGGGGTAGATGGATGGAAGAGAGACCATAGTGAGTTGGCAAGAGTGTCACCAGCAGATGGAGGGAGGGGAGATGAGGGGACAGGTAGAAGACCACAGCTGAGGAAGTCAGAGACTGTCAGAGGCCAGCAAGGGTCAAAGCAGACAGATGGTGTGAGCAGGGCCGTGGGGGCAGCGTGAAGGGAAGAATTTCTGTGTAGGTTTCTTCTGCCCAGGAGTAACCTCCTTGAGGCACTAAGTGTGAAAAATGAGAAAGCATCCCACATTGCAAAGAAGTGGGCATTGTCCTTCTTGCTGGGGCCACCCGCCTTGCTGGGCCCAGCTCCTCCTGAGAAACAGGAAGTGTCCTTGGACTGAACCAGGTAAGTTCAGAGCCAATTCCCCCAATACCATGCTCCAAAAGCTATCTGACATGGTTTAAATCACATCCCTCCTCTTGAGTTAATACAATAAATAGTAATGGCTCAGCAAGATCAGAGGAAATCATATTCTCAACAGAGAAATGAAAATAGAGTGGAAAAATAGAGGCATGTTTCTTGTTTAATTCCAGCACAGAGGGCCTTTGTTAATTCTGCCAAAGCTAATTCAAACGTCAGAAAACCTAAATCAGTATAAAGAATTGGCTTTCAAAAGAAAAACAAGAACATTCAGTGAAGGGAGAAAAATTATCACTCTTCTTGATATGTACAGCTGCTTCATTATTTTCCCAGACTGATAAAATTAATACAAGAGTAATGGCATCTCTAGACATATGAGAAAGCTTTTTTGCAGCAAATACAAATATTTAAAACACAAAGATTTCATTTTGTTCAGGAACTTCAATGACTTTCTAAAATTCATCCCTTGGATTTTATTTCTCAAGATTAAGACTCAGCCTCCAAAAGAAGTCAGCCAGCCTTCCCAGAAATAATTCCTCCCTTGTGAAACATCTCATCTCCTACATGTATCTGCAAGGGGCATCTCCTTAGCACGGCCAACCTCATGGCGCCAGGACCAAAGCCCATGTCATTGGAATAAACTCACTTCCACTTTCTGGTGCAGATCAACGTTCTCACTGAGAAGAAAGTTGACAAGGGATGCATGGCCATTCCTGGTTGCTATCTGCAAACTACTGATATTGAGCTGCAAGAGACAATGGAGAGGGCAGGGAGGAACTCCCATTATAATTCAGCATGCTTTCTGGTGTTTATCACATGGTAATCAGTTAATACAATGAAATAGTACAACTACAGTCGTGCATCACATAACAGTGATTTGGTCAATGACAGACGTGCAGTGGTCCCATAAGATTACAATGGAGCTGAAAAATTCCTATGGCACAAGTACTTAACTACATTACTATGTTACTATGCTGTACAGGTTTGTAGCCTACGAGCAATAGATATACCATATAGTGTGTTGTAGGCTGTACCATGTAGGTTTATGTAGGTACACTCTATTTATGTTTACACAGTGAAATCAGGCATTCCTCATAACATATCCCTGTCATTCAGAGATGCATGGCTGTATTTTAAAAAGAAAATCTGGTTGGGCACAGTGGCTCATGCCTGTAATTCTAGCATTTTGGAAGGCCAAGGCAGGTAGATCACTTGAGTCCAGGAGTTTGAGATCAGCCCTGGCAACATGGTGAAACCTTGTCTCTACAAAAATTAGCTGGGCTTGGTGGTGTGTCCCTGTGGTCCCAGGTACTCAGGCTGAGACTGAGGTGGGAGGATGGTTTGAGCCTGGGAGGCAAAGACTGCAGTGAGCCAAGATCATGCCACTGCACTCCAGCCTGGGCAACAGAGTGAGACCCAGTCTCTAAATAAATAAAAAGAAAACCCATTGTGTTTTTAATTACTGGGTTGAGGGGGAGCTAGTATTAGGTTAGTACAAAAGCAATTGTGGTTTTTACCTAATTGTCTGTTTTTTTCTAAGTGTCTCCCATAGAAGTGTAGAGCCCCAGGGAACATGTGTGCAATAGACCGAATGTTTGTGTCCCTCCCAAAAGTCATATGTTGAAACTCTAATGTCAATGTGATGATGATAGGAGGTGGGGCCTTTCGGAGGTTATTAGGTAATTCATTGTTGACTGATTAATTGTAAGATTGCTACAAAGTATTTGCAGGTCTTTCAAATAAGGATGCTGTTGGAAATTACTTTCCCAAAATTGCTGCATCAGTATCTCCTGTCCCACAGGCTCCTCTGCAATATGACCTTGCCACTCCCCTCATCAAGAGGCAGGGTTTATTTCTCCACCTCCTTGAATCTGGGTCGACCCTGTAACTGCTTTGACTAATAGAATATGGCAGAAGTTCCAGCGTGCCAGTTCCAGGCATGGCCCCTAACTAGCCTGGCAGCTGCTGCTCTCTGCCTTTTGTAATGCCTGCTCTTGTAATCCTTCCTCTTAGAGGCCAGTTCCCAGGCTGTAGGTTGAGGCCCATGGTGAGGCCCAGGTGAGCTCCCAGCAGACAGCCAGCATTAACTGCCAGGCATGTGAGTGCACTCTCTTGGATATCGAGCTCAGGTAAGCCTTCAAAATCCTGGCCGACTTCCAACTGGAATCACATGATAAACTCAAAGTAAGAATCCTCTCAGCTGAGCCCAGTCAACTCACAGAGCCGTGAAAATAATAATAGATTGTTGTTTTAAGCCACTGAGCTTTGGGTTGGATTGTCAGGAAGCAATAGATAATGGAACAGATGCCAACAGCAATGACCTGTGCATCTCTGACCAACTGAAATCTAGCTTGCATGATACTAAATGCCTATATGACCTTGGATAAGTGGCCTATCAAGTATGGGCCTCTTTGTCTTCATCTGCAAAACTGTCCCCATAATAGTTTTCTATTGCTGTTATAAGACATTGCCACAAAATTAGTGGCTTAATAAAATGTATTATTTTATAGTTCTGGAGGTCAGAAGTCTGAAATGGATCCCACTGGGCTAACCAAAAAAAAAAAAAAAAAAAAAAATGTTCACAGATCTATGTTCCCTTCTGGAGGCTCTCAGGAGAATCCACTTCCTTGTCTCTTCCAGGTTTTAGAAGCCTCCTATGTTCTTTGGCTCACACCCCCTTGCTCCATTGTCAAAACCAGCAACAGTTAGCTGAGTCCTTCTCACACTGCATCACTGACATCCTCGTCTGCCTCACTCTTCCACTTTAAAGGACTCTTCATGATTACATTGGGCCCACCTAGTAATCCAGGAGAATCTCATTTTAAGATCAGCTAATTAGCAACCTTAATTCCATCTGCAACTTAAATTCTCCTTTGCCATGTAATATAACATATTCATAGGTTCCAGGAACTGGGATGTGAACATCTCTGGGGTGGGGAGCCTGATTCTGCCTACCACATCATCCTACCTCTTTCTCTGAAATCACAGTACTACTGGGAGGATACACGAGCCAGTAAATGTGTATGGTAACCGTAACTATTATTTTATCCATTCCACACACACACACAAAAAAAACATTGAGCACTTATTCTGTACCAGGCACTATTTTAGATAGTGGAGGGATATGTTGGTAAACAAAACTGATAAGATCTCAGACATTACATTTCAGTGGCGGTGGACAATCAGTTGATCCATTGATTGGTAGACTGGTAGATCAGCAAATCAGTGGACTTAAATATGCTTATTAGATTATAGATGTTGTTAGAAGAATAACATCAGCTAGTTGTAAGTTCTATAACAAGACATAAAATAGCATGACTGGTTGGCTACTTTCTCATGGCTGATCAACAAAGCCTTCTTGGATAAGGTGACAGTTAAACTGAGATCAGAATGGTCAGCAGTGCCCTCACTGGCAAGATCAGAAGCCACCTAAAGCAGAAACAAATTTCTGAGAAACTCAAAGCAGGAACCCTGTAGTAGGAAGAGCTGCGGGAGTCCACAGCATTTACCTCTAGGCATCATGGGCTCTGTGTATAGGGCCTACAGACTTTATGAGCCAAAGAAACCGTTAAAATGTAAAAAGGAAAAAAATTATTGGTTCCACGATACCAAAAGAAAACCACAAAATTGAAGTGAATAAATATTTAATTGACATTCATACTTCATTGATTGTTAAATGTAATGTTCATAAAATATTCATTATATTTATAAACAATTTGCAGGTTGCATTTTTTCACCTCCCTCAAATTCCCAATTATGCACACAGAGTTCTAAGAAATCAGAGTCAATCATAAATTAGGTGAGTCTGTCATAGCCAAATAATTGCAAAAAGCAAAAACAAAAAAGCCTTTTAGAGCAATTAACAGCAAAAAAAAAAAAAAAAGTAAAGAGGAATGTGGGAGCACTTAAATATGTATGATAAAATGTGAGGTAGGACCTCCAGGAATATGAGTTCTTAGGACCTACAAAAGCCTTTTTTGGACCCAGGGCAGTTAATAGGGCGCTAAAGAGAGCCTGTTGCCCTAACTCTGGGCAGTTCTTCCACCCAACATAAACGGAGAATGCCGGCTGTCAACTACATTCATAATCTCACTCCAACATCCTCCTTAGAAACGACTTGACCCGGGCCGGGCGCGGTGGCTCAAGCCTGTAATCCCAGCACTTTGGGAGGCCGAGACGGGCGGATCACGAGGTCAGGAGATCGAGACCATCCTGGCTAACACGGTGAAACCCCGTCTCTACTAAAAAATACAAAAAACTAGCCGGGCGAGGTGGCAGGCACCTGTAGTCCCAGCTACTCGGGAGGCTGAGGCAGGAGAACGGCGTGAACCCGGGAGGCGGAGCTTGCAGTGAGCTGAGATCCAGCCACTGCACTCCAGCCTGGGCAACAGAGCGAGACTCCGTCTCAAAAAAAAAAGAAAGAAAGAAACGACTTAACCCTTTACCCGCTCCCCTTGCTGATGGCAAGGTGGGAGGGAGCACAAAAGCAAACTCCTGGAAACCAAGACTCATCAGTGTCAGCAGGTGAAGCGTTTCCAAGATCAAACATAGCAATCACCTACAAATGTGAAAGCAAAACAAAGTTCAACCCATCCCGGGCTCATGTGTGTTCTTGCTGTTGGCTTCTTGCTTCACACTGCTTTTCCCCCCCCAAGGTTTTCACCGGGTTGGACAGATAGGTGTGGATAGCTAGTGGGGGCTGAGGTTGCTGATTCAGAAGGGAGCTGATGAACTCGGGAAAAACTCTAGAAGTAAAAGCTAAAAAATGGATTCGCGATCATTTCCAGGCTGCCTAGAGCAACTGAGGCCACTGGCTGTAAGGACAGGGGCAATATGGAGCCTGCAGTCTTAGTCGGATGGGGAGAATGTGTGCATATGAAAAATCACTACAAAGCAAAATACTTAAGGGCAAAATAATTAAGGACAAGGGTGAGGCAGGGTACAAAATAATGGAGTAAGCCTGAGAGTCTTGCTAACCTGGGAAGCTTTCCCAGGAACTTGAAGGGGGATACAGACTGGGGACAAGGAGGCACCTGTGCAATGACTGAACAGCAGCACAGCTCTCCACATTCTGAATATTTCATGGCTCCCATGAATTCTTAACTTTCTGTTTATTTATTGCATCAATAACCTTGCAACTTAAGTGGGAATCAACTCATGCTACTTTGATTTTCCTGTCTGACAATCCTTGTCCATGTATATATAAATCCAATATTACATTAATATCTACTCGACTATAATATATTTTTCAATTAGTGTTCTATGATTAACATGTTCAATATTGCAATATATTTTTAGTATTTATCACTATAATTTTTAACAGCTACATAATTTTCCAAGAAGTAGAAGCACCAGACCTTCTTTCAGCCTTCTCCTACCATTAATTCCACGTATATGTTATATCTAATTCTTGGCAATTGGAGCTAACTTTATCATCTATCTGAATGCATGCAGCTAGCTTTCCACCTTTCAAATTATTTTCTTAACATAATCCACCATGTGTGGGTAAAAGGAAAGTGACAAATTGCTTTTCGAAAGATTATACAAATATACACTCCCACCAGCAGAATACAGGGTATCAAACATGCCAGTTTGGGACTTTATTCTTGATTGGGACTTTATTCTTACATGTTTAACTTTGTACTTGTTGAAAAGAAATTGTTTATACATTGTGCAGATAGAAAGATCTCTAAAATATATTGGCAATCAAAAGAAAACAAGGTGCAGAGCAGCATATATTACATACTGTGCTACTGTTTATATGGTGTTGGTATATATATGTGTATGGATTTAATCACATTTTCCATGTGGATTCATGGAAAATTCCTGGAAGACTAAATAAACTATTAAGGATGTTAGTTCTGGGGAGTAAAATTGTGATGTGGGGTTGGAGTAAGACACTTTTTTATCATATACCCTTTGGTGCTATTCAAATTTTTTGTCATGAGTTTTCATTATAATTAATTAGAAAAACAGGAAAAGAAACTAAACCATCTGAAGACAAGGCCATCGCAGGGGTTAAAAGCTGAGGCATTGGCATCAGACAGGAGTTTGAATCCTTGCACTGCTATTGACTAGTTGTATGATCCTGAATGATTTCCTTAACTTTTCCAAATTCTATTTTTGTGATCTAAAACAATGAAAATAATAACACAGTCTCAAAAGTTTCAAAGGTTCTTAGCACAATGACTACATACAAAAGTATTCTGCATTTAGAGGAAGGCACCATCCTTCCTTCTTCATGCACCAGGCTGACCACTTGAGCTTTCACACAATAAAGTTTTTTTCAGCGTCTTCTCTGTATAAGCCAGGTGTGCACTAGTTGCTATGAGAAAACAAAGTAGAATAGAGTGTCTGTTTCTAAGAAGTGACAAGTACTTGCTCATTTTGCCCCACTTTCAATTATTCCTTCCCCAGAAGAATAGAAAGAATAGCATTGCTTTTGAGGACACAGTAACTGGGAAATATTGGAGGTAAATCACTAATTCTTACCAAAAACAAAGCGTATTATAAATATTAATTCTAAAGTACCAGTGAGTGGATCAATGTAGGACCAGAGTTTCCAAAGAATATTTTAAGTCTCCCTCCCACTGCATGAGTGAACATGGTCTGGAACACATACTTTATTTGGAATGTTGATGTCACTTCCTGCTGTCAGCAGCACTTTGCTGCACTCTTCATGACCTCCTTCAACACTCAGAAAGAATGGTGTTTCTCCATTCTAACAAAAGGAAAAATAAGTTAAATTTAATTGCCCCTTGTCATGGAATGAAATTACTTGACAAACAACATGCTTTCTCTATGCCTTTTGTGCATTACTCTTAATAATGGATAGCATTTATTGAACAACTATGTGTCAACTTGTACTGCCAAGACTATATGCTTTGGCACAGTTAAATCACACAATGCTATAAGGGCAGGGTTAATATTATCCACATGTTACAGATAAGAAAACTAAACCTCAGCTGAAAAGTGTCAAAGTGGCTGGGTTCAGTGACTCAGCCTGTAATCCCAGCACTTTGGGAGGCTGAGGCAGGCAGGATACTTGAGCCCAGGAGTTAGAGACCAGCCTGGGCAAAATGGCAAAGCCCCATCTCTACAAAAAGTTTACAAAATTAGCCAGGCATGGTGGATGCCTGTAGTCCCAGCTACTTAGGAGGCTGAGGTGAGAGGATCACCTGAGCCCAGGAGGTTGTGGCTGCAGTGAGACAGGACTGCATCACTGCAGTCCAGCCTAGGCAACAGAGTGAGACCTCGTCTCAAAACAAAAAAAAAAAAAAAAAAAAGAAAGAAAGAAAGATAATCTCAGAAATAAGGAACTATAGTACAGTATGAAACACACAAAATTAGAAGTCCATTTGCACCAAGTATAACTTTAATCTTTACAACTGATTAAATGTTACATGACATTTTAAAAAATAACATTACTTTAAAAAATCTCAGTACTTCAGTTTCCTGAAACTCAAGATAAATACTAGGAGGACGAAGTAAGAGTTTAATTCAGGCCAAAATGAGGAAAAAGAAGGAGCTGGTCCCACACAATAGCTACTTGGCTATTTCCTTTTCCTCATGCAGACTCTTTCCTAAAAATGTTGGGAAGAAATGCAGAATTCCTTCCCCATTCCCTAACCATTTCCCTCCTTGGACATTAATCTGCTTAACAACTACTTTAGGATAAATTCAGAAGGCTTTACTCATAGTGAATTAGGTATGAACAATCATGTTAACAGGAACACAAGAGTATAGAAACCAGTGTTCCCATTCCAACAAGGTGGGAAAATCATATTCCAGGCTGCTTTACCTGGGTGCCTGGGACAGCCATCTGCTTATAAAGGCATTTCTCTGCCAGGCATGGTGGCGCATGCCTGTAATCCCAGCACTTTGGGAGACTGAGGCGGGCGGATCACCTCGGTCAGAAGTTCAAGACCAGCCTACTCAACATGGTGAAACCCCATCTCTACTAAATATACAAAAATTAGCCAGGCGTGGTGGTGGGCCCGTGTAATCCCAGCTACTCTGGAGGCTGAGGCAGGAGAGTCACTTGAACCTGGGAGGCTTAGGTTGCAGTGAGCCGAGATCATACCACTGTACTCCAGCCTGGGCAACAAGAGCGAAGCTTCATCTCAAAAAAACAAACAAACACACAAACAAAAAAGGCATTTCTCCCCATAATCTTCCTTCTCATTTTTCCAAGAAAATGGATGCAAAAAGACAAATCCCAGTGGGGAAAATATTTGTTAAAAAAATGTGTAAAGGAAAGAATTCATATCCAGAGCCTGATAAGGTTTCATATCTTGGACCCTGCAATCTGCCTCTAAGGATATACTCCAAGGCAATTGTGAGGAAATCAGACTCAGGTTTATATACAAAGAGGTCTGTGACAGCACAACCTATTATAAACAAAAACTGAAACTAAATAACCAAGAGCTAAAGAATAGTTAAGTGAATTTGGGACAGCTATGAAAAATATATTGTACATATATGCAGAGGAACACAATAAAATCCATCAGATGTGTATAAGATCATCCTTTGAGCTGGGCATGGTAGCTCACACCTGTAATCTCAGTTGCATGGGAGGCTGAGATGGGAAGATCACTTGAAGCCAGGAGTTTGAGACCAGCCTGAGCAACATAATGAGACCCTATTTCTAATAATAATAAATAATAATAATTCTGTGAGTTTAGAGAAAATACAAAACTGCTATTTATTTTTTATCTTGAATTTTAAACATTTATATTTCTAGCATATACTTTATAATGAATTAATTGAATTATAAATGTATATGTGATAGCCACATGCTCAAACTTTCTTTACTGATATGAGTTTGCTGCCAAGAATGTCTGGAGACCACGGCTCTAGAGCACATTCACATGGGTCCCTCTAACTGATCTGGCAACAGCTTGTATCAGGAAGCAGAGGCTGTCCACAAATGGACAAACATTATGAATCATATGCAAAAAGATGATATTATTATCACTGTGCCCTTAATTTTGTGCAAATTAAACCTATCATAATCTGAAATTAAAGTTTTTTGGGCTTTATGAATTTTCCCCAATGTGCCCTGACTCCAAAGTTGCTAAAAGGAAGATGAAATCCACATGCATGCACACATTCCAGTGGTTTAAATATGTTTTAATAGAACAGGGAAAGCATAACTAATACTATAAATAAGACTATAAATCCTGTGACTACAGGACTTGATCTCTGCTTTGGTTTGAATGTTTGTGTCCCTCCAAAATTCATGTTGAAACTTAAATCCCCAATGCAATAAGATTAAGAGGTGGCTTTTATGTGGTGATTAAATCATGAGGGCTAGCTCAGTCAACCAGGTGGATATAATTGTTGTTGTTTGAGCACATGCATTACACTGGAATGGGTATCAGTGGCTTAGAAGAAAATCTTAGAAACAACAGTGGGGCATTCTTTAAGAAATGCTGCATCTCCCATGCCACTGTACTCCAGCCTGGGTGACAAAGCAAGACCCTGACGCTATAAGAAAAAAAATAAAGTAAGAAAAAGAAAAAAGAAAGAAATCATCAAGACTGAATAAGTGATTTAGAAGAATCTAATTCAGCTTGAAGTTTACAATCAACCGAGTTATCTTGCTTATTTTTTTCCTTTATATATGCACGTAAAAAACTAACAGTCTAAAAACATCTTCAAATAGGCAGCATAAAATAAATATTTTAAGTGACAATAAAGTTTTTTGTCACAGTTAAATGGCAGCATTATTTTTTCTGAGTGTTACATAAAATAATGGTGTGCTTTACAATCAATGGTATCTTAAGGTAAATGCTTATGATACTAGTTCTTTCGGTAGCTCTCAGGTGAGGCATCAAGTTTAGAAATGATCAGAACATTAAACTGTGAAATCCAAGAGGACCCCACTGACCCGAGTTTCCAAAGAGCCAGACAAAAAATCACTGGACCATAGGTTAAGAAGTGACCATCCAGGGCAAATGACTCACAAACTTGCCCTGCATAGCCACAGTCACATCGCCTCCACCAAATCCAGAACCAGTTTCTTTTTACTTTTTTGGTTGTGTTTTGTTTTGTTTTGTTTGAGATGGAGTCTTGCTCTGTTGCCCAGGCTCAAGTGCAGTGGCACAATCTCGACTCACTGCAACCTCTGCCTCCCGGGTTCAAGCAACTCTCCTGCCTCAGCCTCCCGAGTAGCAGGGATCACAGGCACCTGTCACCACACCCAGCTAATTTTGCATTTTTAGTAGAGACAGTGTTTCACATGTTGGCCAGGCTGATCTCAAACTCCTGACCTCAGGTGATCCACCCACCTCGGCTGCCCAAATTACGGGGATTACAGGCATGAGCCACCATACCCGGCCCCAGAACCAGTTTCCAGCTCACTAACACTCCAGCTGAATGTACCCCCCTCCCAAGTGCCTCAAACAAACCCATTCAAGCCCTCATTACCTACCCCACTCACCTGCTCCACACCTGTACTCCCCAGCAACAGCCCAAGTCAGATAGCTGGGGGCAGAAAGTCTTCCCTCTCTCTAAGTCCTGGTCATAAGTCCTGTGGACTCTGCCTCCTCCTACCACTTCATCCTGTTTGTTGCTCATGAGTGTCTCAGTGAGAGGTCTTCCATAGGTCTTGTTTCCCCATTTTGGCAGTCACCTGACTGGTCCTCCCCACTTCTGGGCTCTCCTGGCACCCGGTCTACCTTTCAAACGGCTGTGACAGTTACCTGCCCACACCTAAGATGAATTCTATCCCTTTTCACTACTTAAAACCCTTCAAGGTCTCTGCTGGCAACCACATCAAAGCCAAACCCTCCCTCCTGTAAAGCATGGCCTTTCGTCATCTGTCTGCCTTGGCCCACTAGGCTTCCAGCTTTCCCAGCCCTCCTAGTCACAATGTCTGCCACCCTGAGCTTGTCCGCCCAGAACACACCATACTCTTGCCTCGGTTCTTTTCCTTGGACTTTTCCCTCTGAAATACTTTATACTTGTGCCATCCTCAAAATCCTTCCTGCCAACATTCATTACAATGCCAAGACCCAGATAATATATCACTTCTTCTGTGAAAACTGTAATTTCTGAAAAACATCTTCCTCTGTGTTCTCATGGCATTCTCTGTAGACCTCTATTATTGCATGTAGCCCGATACATTATTTGTTTTGCATGCCCTTCTTACCCTGTAGGCTTCTGGAATAAGAGTACATACTTCATCTGGCATACAGTACATATAGAACAAATATTATTTGAATGAACGGGTGAATAAATGAATGGATTAACAAATGAAGTGCTGTGGAATACTTTGAAGAATAAAGTAAGAATCTTTCAGCATCACATTTTACACCCTATGGCACTAACACCTTTGTTTTCCTCCCACTCTTTTCTCGAAAGCCATTCCTCCAACCCTTCCCCATTTAAGTCCTGTGCCTGTAATGCGTACTTCCACATACCTCATTCATCTCATTTATGTCTTGCCATTGGGTTAGCAGCACCTGCACTGCAGGACTGTGACCGTGCTTTGCAGCGAGGTGCAAGGCAGTGTTTCCCTCCTGCAACAGAGACACACTCGGGGTAGAATGCCCTGTGCTGGGAGAGCATGTTCCTTCAACAGTAAGGGCTGCAATGGAGTTTCTGGAAGTTTTCATTTTGGTTAAAGCACGGTCCAGAGCGTGGACCACTGTATCTGCAGTTTTAAGTGAAATTTATACATTTTTAAGTTTTAAATAAAAAGGTATAGCTTTCTGAACCAGTAGGAAAAAAATCATCCATGCTCCTTCTTCTAACTTTGCTACCAATTGCTAGCAAAACATGGAGCAACAGAAGAAATTCCATTTGACCTATGTGAGGGTAAAATGGTGAAAGATTTCTGGGAGGTCATTTTAGCAATATTATATACCCAAAGATTTTAAAATGTGCAGAAGCCTTTGACCCACAATTCCACATCTAGGAATTTCTCCTAAGAAAGTCATCAAAGGTGTACATACAGATACGATGTCTACCCCAGGGTTTTCCCCTCCCCTTTCATGTAAGGCTGAGGCTCCAGGAGACCTCATGGGAGGAGAGAAGAGGGGTGGAGTTGATCATGGAAAAATCCATGTGGTCTATTGACTTCACAAACATTATGAAGCAAAAACTGCCAATCTGGACAACCCACAGCAGCAGTGGAAGGATTTTGTCTGGATAGTTCATGATTCTCTCTGAGTACAGTAACAACTTACAACTCTTCTGCTGACTAAAAGTCCCTCACCAAATCTACAGGCCAATTGTTACCCCTCTACATCAATTGTTACTCCCCTTTCTCTTGTTCTCAGCAAAGAAATAAAAGTCCAACTCACCTTGTCCTTTTCTGAAGTATGCAGGTTTAGGAAGGTAAGTTTTTCTATCATTTCAACATGGCCCCTCTCAGCTGCCAAAAGAAATGGTTTTCTTCCTTTCTAAAAATCAATCACAAACCTCAAGCATTTATTACACTCTTAGTGAACAAGCATGACAGTGGACAAAGCTAGTGACATTTTAAGAGAAATGTTTAGGTTTGATTTTTTTAGAAGATAAGCTCAAATATAGAATTTTCTGATTATGGAATTCCTCCTACTTTTTATGTTGCCAATGGAGACTATATTTTCCATAGCCAAAATGTCATCAAGAAAAGTGAAAGACTTGTCTTAGTCTGTTTTGTGTTGCTATAACAGAATACCTCAGTCTGGGTAATTTATAAAGAAAAGAGGTTTATTTAGCTCACAGTTCTGCAGGCTGGGAAGTTCAAGGGCACGGTCTTGGCTTCTGGCAAGGGCTTTCACACTGTGTCATAACATGACAGAGAAAGTCAAAGGGATGCGAACATGTGTGAAGAGACAAAACCCAAGAGGCATCCTAGCTCTCACCCTCGTGGGAACTAATTTATTCCTATGAGAATGAATCTAGTCCCACCAGAGTGAGAACTCACTACCTGAAGAATGTCACCAAGCCATTCATGAAGATCCACCCTCATGACACAAACATCTTCCAAGAGGTCCCACCTCCTAACACCACCAGATTGGGGATCCAATTTCAACATGAATTCTGGTGAGGACAAACCATAGCCAAACTATAGCAGATCCACAGAAAATGTAATGTTGTAACTTGAGATAATTAAAAGAAGGAAAAGGAAGTTGTGGTGGCAATATGATAGCAGAAGTATTTTCTTCAATTAAAGAGAAAACACTCACAAATTGGCTTAGTGTGTTACTAACTGAAAGCTTAGCAAGGTGTCTTAATGTTAAAAAATAGATACAAGCCTCATCTAACACTTGATAAAATAGGGTAATGAAAAGATCGTGGCCACTGTTAACCTGAGATAACAACATAGGAGCTCCCAGTAACTGGAGAAAAAAGGAAGAAATAATGCTGAAATAACAAACGGTAAAAAGCAAAAACAAAAACAAATCTATAAAGATCAGTCCTACAGAGGTCTGTATTTATGCATGTATGGAAGCTGGAGAAACAAATTTGCACCAAAAACTTCACCTAATTCATCATTGTTGGGCCACATATGTCACAATGAGATCTACATCTCCAACCCTTTAAAGGGTTCAGTGATTTCATTCTCAGGAGATCCCTAGAAATGGCAAAGGAAAGAAACAGAGATTGCTTAGAACCCCAGTTTTCTGCACTAATTGAAGAGTAAAATTTAATCTTGAGTCATGAGCAACTCTTTGGAAACGACAGACCAAAAATTATTGTGTTCGATATACAAATATGTGCAAATAGTGACTACAGGTAAAGGTTCATGTAAACAAATCACAAAAGAGGGAACAAGAGACAGTGATTATATACTAGATGAAAACATCTGATCACATATCCTCATAAATAATTCATTAATTTCTTCAACAATTATTGAATGCCTATGAATATGCCAGATAATGTGCTAAGCAATAGAGTGACCAGGGTGAGAAATATATTGCCCATCCTCAAGTTCAGAGTCCAAAAGGAGAGATGGACACATAAGCAAGTAATTATAATGTAATGTAGTAACCGAGTGCTGGTGATATATGGGGTTATATAACTCAGCATTTAAGTGTGTTTGTGGCTGGAAAGGTAGGTGGTGAGAAGTGGTGGAAGAAGGCCTTTAAAGGTTGCTAATGCACTGGAACAGGAGAAAAGAGAACTTGTTACCTGATTCTTGCCTGTTATCTTTTACATTGGAGAATGACCCCCGGCTCATGCAGAAGGAAAGGGCTTTTGTTAGCTCTTTATGCACAGAGACCACAAATAATACATGAAGGTGTTGTGCCCTAGTGTGGCATTTGTTGCTTTTGCCTTTATATTTACCTTTCTTCTAGTAACTTTGTTTTACTTTGCAGAACAACCACCCATACACACACACACCCTGTCATTTAGCCCATTTGGTGCTGTCCATTTCCAAGCCTTATCTGCCTGCCTTCTGCCACATGAAGTGATTACATAACCTGCCGTCACAGTGATTGGTTCGAGATTGGGCATATGATTCAGGTAGGGCCAGTTGTTCCTGAGATTTATACATAAACATTTAATGACAGATTATTATTTCTATTTCTTATGGATTGAAATCCATAAGGATATTAAACCTGAGGCTGCTAACCGCTATCTTTCCTACTATATGAAAAGTATACCTATGAATAATGCCAACATGCAGACAGCTAATAAATGGACAAAGAAAAAGAGCTGAGTCCAGCCATGCCTGAAGCTGGAAAGATACACCCTCATACTCTTTAGTTACAAGTTAATAAATTACCTTCTTTGCTTAATCTCAATCAAGATGGATTTTTGTCTTTGCAACAGAAAGAATTCTAACTAATACATATTTATCAGTTTGGTAACAATACTAATCTGTTCAATTTTAAAATGGTGCTTTTCTTTTACCCGTGGTTGCTACAAAGTTTTGCATTACTGCATAGATAACAAAGTGAAAGAAAGCTTCACCTGCTAAGAGATGGGAGGTTCTGAGAAAAGACTACAGTTACCACAGATGAAAGATCTTTCCTTTCCTTTGGAAACACTATTAGTTTGAACTTTGGAAGCCCTTTAAAACAGTTATCATCCAGGAAAAAGATGTAAAAGCAAAATTACACAAAGTAAAGACATTTAAAGTAACCTATAATAAATACATGAAAAGGTAGCATAAAGAAAGGTGAGATTATAGCATAGTGAGATATAAATATTTTCTCTCATTGAGTACATATTATTAGACAAAATAACAGGAATTTCAAAGATATATGTGGTTTTTAAAAAATAGTTTCTTATTATGTCCTTTTTTTTTTTTTTTAACTTCCCAATCCTTTTTCATCACATTCAAGTAGGCCTCTATCCAGGGCAGTCTCATAGGCCCTCCCTTACTTGGAAGGCAGGAAGCTTTTCCAGCCAGAAGGATGGTGGAGCTTGGTGTCAGAGCCCTGGGCTCCAGGCCTTGGGCCAATCACAAAGACTCCCTGGCTCAGGATCCTGTCCGTTTAAGCACTAAAATAAGGAGGGTCCAGGATTCCTGTTCCTTCTTTCCTCTATTAACTCAATATCTATTTAACCTGATTATAACAGGGTCTTACTCTGTCACCCAGGCTGGAATGCAGTGGCATGATCTCAGCTCACTGCAGCTGCCATCTCCTGGAATCCAGTGATCCTCCCACCTCAGCCTCCCGAGTAGCTGGGACCACGGGTGCGCACCACCACATGCCGGCTAATGTTTTGTATTTTTTTGTAGAGGCAGTTATTCACCATGCTTCCCGGGCTAGTTCTCAAACTCCTGAACTCAAGAGATCCTCCCACCTCTGCCTCCCAAAGTACTGGAATTACAGGTGTGAGCCACTGTGCGTGGCTAACCTGATATGTTTTAACTCAATGCATTTAATTTTTTTTTTTTTTGGCATGTAAGTCTGAGGGATTGGAATTGTTTATTATAAATTATCTTTAAGTTTACTGAGAAGATGAAATCATCAAATTTGATGTTATGAAATTCAGCAAAAATTTCATAAATAGCCATTAAGTGGGTATCCAAAGACCAACCTGACCTTCCTTTACCACAGGGATCCCCGAGATGTGTCGCTCTCAGGAGCCTCTGAGGAGAGGCGCTGGGTGGGCCTCCAGTGCATGCTCCCTCCCACAGCATTTCCCATCACCCCAGGGTCAGGCACTTGAGGAAGGGGAAAACCCTGAATAACTAGAAATTTCACAGGTAAAAAATATGTGTCATGAGGTTAAAAAAAAGAAAAAGCAGCATGTTAAATATGAAAAAGTGGCACTGGTGGGGTGGGAGACAGTGGGTTAGTTCTCCCCTCACAGACAGGAAACAAGAGATTTGATTAAATCTAAAATTGTTAAATGTTGCCTTGGGTCTGTATAAGAAAACAGGTGTCTTCTCAAGTCCCCTTCTACTCACTATCCCCTTCCCTCCCAGAAAAAGAAGCTTCTATGCATTTTGACTTCCAGAGACTTTAAACCAATGGAAGTCTACCATATTCGTAGTTGAAACCAAAGCAACATTGTACCCCCAAATTCTTGTAAATATTGAACAAATACATGAATGGCATGTGAGGCCTTCCTATTTCTCTCCCTCCCCAAACATGTCAGTCTGAGTATTTATTTTTGATCACCAGATGGACATTTATATGTAGATTCAAAATGTCTATACTTTATTCCTAACTCCTTGCTGCGCTAATCTCTCTCCCCTGGAAAGGCCTCAGTGATTTTTATGGCTGTGGAGCTGGGGGAAATCTCAAAAGTTTTCCCAGCATCCTCCACCTCTCCCCACCCAAACTCCCCCTGGCCTAGTTAAATCCATTTTGTGTTAAGGGCCTCCTTCCAGGAAAGCTTTCCTTGTTAGCTTTTGGAGTTCCCTCCAGGCCAGAGAGATGGATTTTACCAACCCTGGCAGGTACACAGGCTCTCAATCACTTTCTGTTGATAAGAAACTAGGCAAGAGAGTAACACTGTGAAGGTGAAGACGTCTTAAATATCAAATGTATTTTACAAACTCCACAATACCTTTAAGCAGATGCAAATGGGAAACCCAACAGTAAATTGATAGAACCTGAGCTTCTGATCACAGCTGCAACTGGAATTTCCCCCCATAATTTTTTATTATGGTAAAGTACTCATAACTAAATTTATCATCTTAACCATTATTAAGTGTATAGTTCAGTGGTATTAAGGATACTCATAAGGATAGCCATCACTACCATCCATCTCCATAACATTTTTCATCTTGCAAAACTGGAATTGTGTCCTCATTAAACAATAATTCCCCACTTTCCCTTCCTCCTAGTTCCTGGCAACTACCATTCCAACTGATGTTTGCCAACAGGTGTGACCCACTCACAGATCTTAGGGAAAAAAGTAGATTTTTTTTTTTTTCTTTTCTATTCATCAATTTAGTTTTCTGAAGGGACTAAAGTTGGGCTCAGACTCAGAGTCTTCTTTCCCTAGATGACCCAGTGGACTCATTATTTGCTCATTCATTGTATGTCTCTGAACTCAATTTAAGATCTCGCAGCTGGACATGTCACTCTGCAGTTTGCTGCCAGTGCTCCTGAACCCTTTTTCCCAACAGACAGAGGAGGAAGAAGGTGAGAGGAGAGGACATGTCCAGAATCAGCTGAAAAGAGTTACGGAGAGGAAGGCTGCTGGCCAGCAGAAACTCAAGAAATGGGGAAGGCTCCCTGCAAAGGTGCTTTGGTTTCTGAATCCCATCAGCCTGCCTGATCCTTCCCGTCCTTCCCATACACTACTCTCTCTCATGGAAGCAATCAGAGCACATTGAAGGGGAAAATAACTGTGTGTCTCATGCATAACAGGCCGTCAACGAATATCTGCTGAACTGAACTGAATGGAATTCATCAATTGGCCACGTCTCTACTTGGCATGGATAAAATTAGAAAGATCCAGCTTCCTCACCTTGATACTAAATGGCATTTGACTATGATTGTCACTTTCAGAAAATCAGATAGGATATTTTATCCTATAACAATTGTTACAACAGTGAGCACTTACAATGTGCCTGGCTCGTTGCTAAGTGCTTTATAGTCATTAGCTCATTTAAGCATCTCAGCTATTCCAACATTCCTACATAGGAATGGCATAAGTGAAAAGGGGTTATGGAATGGCTCATCATGAAGTTCATTTGCATAGGTACTTTTACATAAGATTGAGGAAATGTCAATCATTATATACCAAAGAATGGAGGTTTGCTGATTTTAAAAAAATTATATGTGGGACAAGACTTCTCCTGTCACCCTGTTGTTACCATAAAGTAGATTTTATTGTTTCCATTGTATAGATGGAGAAACTGAGGGTTTCGGAAATTGAAGAGCTTGCTTAAAACCACACAGCTAGTGCATGGTGGTACTGACCAGACCAAAGCCCAAGTCTATCTTCCTCTAAGCTGTAAATGTACAGTTGTTTAATCATATGTAGAGGAAGTCAAAGAAGTATACAGACCTAATCTGAAGAAATACTTCTTATTGTTAATATTGTTGTTTTTGAGATTACGGTCAGAAAAAAAATGTAAAAATTTTTAAAAAGAGGTGAAATGAAGTGACTATCACTGACCAGCTTCTAAAGAAACTTTTATAGTATAGTATTCTCGTGGCACAGAGAAAAGGAAGTCCCATTCATGAAGTATATTCTACTGCTGAGAAATCAAAATGCCAATTGCACAAAGGCTACTCCTCTATGAAGAAAAAAAAAAATGCCTAGAGGGAAATATTCCAGGGGAAGGACAGTCCCTGACATGAACAATACCCACTGTTAGTCTGAGGAGGGAGACGGCACAGCATGAAGGCTGGATTCAGCCAGACCTGGCGTCAAGTCCTGGCTCTGTCACTTTTTAGTTGTGAGACTTTTGGTCAGGTGTTTGGCCTCTCTGAGCCTCAACTTCCTCTCCTCTACAAATGAGCAAAATATTTTCTACTTTATAGGATTATTGTAGGGGTTAGTGAGATCATTCATTCATTCAGCAATGATTTGTTGAGCATCGGTAGGTGTCAGGTCCAAGACCTCTTACTGAAATAATGTATGTAAATAGCTTTCCTCTGTACCTACATTAACAGATACTTGTTAAGTAGTAGCTAGTATTGTTATGTATCCCCTTATTTAAAGAAAAGAAATACTGACAAATGCAATAAAACTGCATTGTATTTCATGGCTCATTACTGCATAGCTTTGGGTCAAATATATTACCAAAAGGCCAAGCATAATAAAATAAAATTTAGATACACATTTTGATTACTAAAGGGGATAGGATACTGTCCACACTCCGGCCAGGATGAGGGAGTAGAATGGGAAGAAGGAATCTGGCTGCTTCCTCAACACTTCCTGTTCTCCCTACAAGCAGGGGCCAGGATCGCCACTAATACCAACACTCCTCTTTGGTTCTGTGGTCTGCCAACGTGATGGAGGAGCTGGCTATAGGGCAGGGTCTGTCTGTGCTGGCTGCTTTCACAGCTGTACCAGAGGTAGGAGAAAGTGAAATTTGATAGGGGTGGATGCAAGACCTATACAACCAAAGTAAACACACCTCATCAGGCTGGTTCAGGTCCTTGAGGTGCAGATCTTGAATAAGATACTCCACGATGCGCACATGATTGCTCTGAGCAGCAAAGTGGAGGGCATTCATTCCATCCTGAAGAGAGCCAGGGGTGGGGGAGATACACAGTGACCTCAGAACTTCCTCTCTCCTGCAATGGTGAGGTAAGAGCTTTTGTCCAGGTGTGACCCACATACCTACCTGATTCTTGGCTCTCTGATCTGCTCCAGCTTTAACCAGCATGAGCATGACCTCAAGGCTCCCAGACCAGGCTGCAAGGTGAATTACTGTCAAGCCATGCTTCCCCAAGAAGACAGAAAAAGAGAATCTATCACTCTGATGAGCCACAGCATATACTGCCTCATCAACAAAGGCCAAATTAATACTAGATTGTTGAAAACTAAGAAATAGAGAATTTAATACGCAGCAAAAGTGATATTTCGGTTCTATGGGGAAAAAAGGGTATACTTAATAAGTGGTGCAGGCACAAGTGGTTCTCCATCTGGAAGAAAATAAAATGAAAAGCTGTATCATACCACACTCACAAAATAGCACACAAACAATAAACATATTAGAATAAAATCCAGACTATAATGTACAGTCTCTTAATTCAGAGTGAGAACAGACAGATAATAAACAAAGTCAATTAAAAATGACAGATTTTTTAAGATGTATCTTTAATAAAGATAAATGGTTGTTCTCTAATCCATGAAGCACACTTACCTATGGAGAAGAAAAAGACAAACTCAGAAAAATGGACAAAGAAAGGAAATGGAAATGATTATTGTTTAAGTATCTGGCAATATCTATTAGAATTGAAAATACAACCAGCAATCCCACTCCTGGGAATCTATCCCATAAAAATAAAAATGTCATTACCTAATGCTATATATATAAGGATATTAAGTGCAATACTAAAAACTGGGTACAAGGTAAAGGCCTATCAACATGGGAATGCTGAATAAGTTATGGAATAGTCAGACTATATAATGCAAGCATTAAAAATAATGAATTAGTGCTACAACAATTGACTTGGAAAGATTTCCATGAGTTTTGCTAAATATGGAAAATAAGATTGAGAATAAATATGATATAATCCCATTTGTTAAAAAGGAGTGATTAAGAAAACCCCATACATGTATATGTACATATCTATATCCATCTATAGGTGCGTTGGTGGGTAGGTAGGTAGATTGATTAATATAGATATGTCTATGTGAGCAGGAGAAAAGTACAGAAATAAACATATATATCTCAGATTGTTAAGTATAGTTACCAGAGGAGGAGAGGGAACACACAGGTAAAAGAAACACAAGTTATAAAAAGCATCTCATTTATATAGATGCTACTTAAAATATTTTATTTATACAAAATTATTTCGATTTGTCTGTGTGCAAACACATGTGCACAAAGTTGTCAGACTGAAAGAGACCAGGATTTACTGACCCGTAGGGATGCTGTGGGCAGTTGTATGCTGACTTGTCTACCAAATAAGCAGGGAGAAAAGTGTGGAAGGAAGCGTAGCCAGCAGTTAACATTGGCTATTTTAGGGAGGTGAGATTCGAGGGACATAAGCAAAAACATGCATCTGCACGCCAGGCCCTAAGTTAGAGAAGCAGCATAGGGCAGACACTATGAGCCTGATCTTCAGGATCAAGCAGAACTAATCTCAAATTCTGGTCACTTTCTATCACTTTCAAGTATGGGGATCTTGGTGAACTTAATTCTAACTGTCAGCTTCAGCTTCCTTATCTGCAAACTCAAGTGTGCTTTTCTGTTTCCTTTAGCCCCACGAAAAAGTAATCCATTTCCTCAGTACAAGTGCCTGCCCAAAGTAAGCTCTCACACTACATTTTATTTCCCTCTTCTAATCAGTTGTGTTTGTGATCTGGAAACTGTTTGTCAGATGTACACAGTATGAGTAAATGCGTAAGGAATGAGGGCCTGCAGCACACTTCTACTTGTGAAGTGCATAAGCCTTTTGGCATTTATTTTGGCTGCCCCCAAGTTGCATTAATGTATTCTCTTATTCTCAGTAGAATTCACATTGGGAGAGTAAAACAGCAAGTCCCAAATTATTGAGGCATAACTCTAAACTGGTGATTCTCAACTGGGGGTGATTTTGCCCCCAGGAAACATTTGGAAAAATGTATGGAGACATTTTTTACTGTCATGCTGTGGGTGGGGGGAGGTTAATATTGGCACCTAGTAGATAGAGGCCAGGGATGCTGCTAAACATCCTGCAATACACAGGGCAGCCCCAACCACAAAGAACTATCTGGCCCCAAATGTCAAAAGCACCACTGTTGAGAAACCCTGCTCTTAATGTGCATATCCTATCAAATTTATATTTCAGCTGTCACTCTAGAGGGTGAGTTAGTCCATTTGTAGGTTTACAATTCCAGCATGAAGAAGACTCTTCATTTCTGGACTCCTTGTCCCAAAAAGAAATGATGTACAATGACTGACTACTTGAGGTTCTTTAAAGCATGTTCCCTAAACACAATTCCACCTCTTAATTTGGACTTCCCTACAAGTCAATGCTCTATGTTTAGTAATACTAAATCTGCTTTCAAATATAAAAGAGACCAGAAGGCCAGGTGCGGTGGCTCATGCCTGTAATCCCAGCACTTTGGGAGGCCGAGGCAGTCAGATGACCTGCGGTCAGGAGATCGAGACCAGCCTGACCAACATGGAGAAACCCCATCTCTACTAAAAATACAAAATTAGCTAGGCATGGTGGTGCATGCCTGTAATCCCAGCTACTCGGGAGGATCGCTTGAACCTGGGAGGTGGAGGTTGCGGTAAGCCAAGATTGCACCATCGCACTCTAGCCTGAGCAACAGGAATGAAACTCCCTCTCAAAAAAAAAAAAAAGCCAGAAATATTTGAGACAGGTGACAAATCACTCTTTGACAGGAGATCTATTTTTTCCCTAAGAGGTAATTCCTAATTTCAAAGCAGCCTATATTTTAAAATTCCAAGCTCCAATCATAAAATCTAAAAGCTGGGAATTCAAGCTGCAAACAACCTAAGTCTCTAAAACCACAAATTCAGAATGGAGCCATTGTTCCTCAGAGGTAATGAATCACGGCTCACAGATGTAAACTCCCTGAGAAGAACCTCCATAAAACAAATTCTTCTGGTGTGAAACTGGCATGCCTGAGACTACTTAAGACCATGTGTCACAAATCACACTCACAGGTGACTCATGAAGCTCTGTGAAGTGTACATTGCCCAACAGTCACTGACAACCTGTCCTCATTGCCAGTCTCGTCATAGGTGAGGTCAATAATTTCCTTTGGGGAACAATTCTATGTTAGGAGCTTCCCAGAGATAAGAAGCTCTGTGAGCAGATGTTTTTATCCTCTGAGCACCACTTGCACCCACCTGGGATTCTTTACTCCTGTCTGGAGTAAGGCCCTCCATTTATCCAGTCTGCCTATTCCCAGGACTTGGGGGTGCTGCTCACTTTGGTCCCTAGCATGCAGTGCCTTGAATGGCACTCAGCTAGTACAGTCTCTGTCCTTGCTCCCCAGAGAGATTGTAGGCCCTGCAAAGCCATGACTCTATCTCATACCAGTGCTTCCCGAAAACAATCACCTGGGAATTTTTTTTTAATGCGGATTCTGATTCAGGCCTGGGGTGGGGCCTAAGATCTTGCATTTCTAACAAGCTTGCAGGTGATGTACATGCTTCAAGTCCTGGCACCACACTTTAAATAGCAAGGACTTCTGTCTAGTTGAATCCTCAGTAGTTGACACTGAGACATACGCACAACAGCCACTGAACAAATATTGAGGGTGAAGGGGATCAACTGTTAGCTCTTTGCAAATGGTGTTAGAACTTAGAAGAGGTCAAACTCAAGGCTCATCATTCAGATAAAGAAGCTGCCAGATTGGGTCAAAAGTGACCTTGCTTGAATTATGAAAAACATTTGACTAGTTATGGAGTAATGCCACTGTAGATGATTTAATCAGTTATAAACATATTTAACTTAGTGAAACCTTCAAAGCAGGAAAAAGAGACACATCAGGAATTACTCTATTTCCCACCTGACATTATTTCAATCTTCAAGCAAAGTTAAGAGAAACAGTCATGCTTCAGAGACAAGGTAATGCAAACATATGTTTAGAAAAACCTCAAGGAGAACAAGTTGGTGAAATATCTCTCCATCATTTCAGGAATAATTTGAAGGGGTGGCCTACCCCTCCACACCTGTGGGCGTTTCTTGTTAGGTGGAACGAGAGACTTGAGAAAAGAAATGATGGAATGAGAGACTTGAGAAAAGAAATGAGACACAGAGACGAAGCATAGAGAAAGAAAAAGTGGGCCCAGAGGACCGGAGCTCAGCATACCAAGGACCGACGCTGGCACTGGTCTCTGAGTTCCCTTAGTATTTATTGATAATTATCTTTACCATCTTAAAGAAAAGGAGGTGGCAGGATAATAGGATTATTGTAGGGAGAAAGTCAGCAGTAAGACATATGAATAAAGATCTCTGTGACGTGAATAAGTTTAAGGAAAAGTGCTGTGCCTTGATATGCATATGTAAACATCTCCATAAACCTTTTTAGTGCATAAAGAGCAGCATTGCGCTAGCAAGTCCCGCCTTTCGCCCTAAGGCAGTTTTCTCCTTTCTCAGGAAACAGAGCATACAATCGGGTTTTACACCGAGATGTTCCATTGCCCAGGGACGGGCAGGAGACAGATGCTTTTCTCTATCTCAACTGCCAACAACCGCCAAGAGGCCTTCTTTCCTCTAGTACTAGTCCTCCTCAGCACAGACCCCCCACGGGTGTCAGGCTGGGGGACGATCAGGTCTTTCCCTTCCCACGAGGCCATATTTCAGACCATCACATGGGGAGAAACCTTGGACAATACCTAGTTTTCCTAGGCAGAGGTACCTGTGACCTTTGGCAGTGTATGTGTCCCTGGGTACTTGAGATTAAGAGAATGGTGATGACTTTGAACCAGCAAGCTGCCTTCAGGCACTTGTTTACCAAAGCACAGCCCAAAATCCATTAAACCTTGAGTCACCACAGCACATGACTCTTGCAAGGACAAGGTTGGGGGTAGGGTCACAGATTAACAGCATCTCAAATACAGAACAAAATGGAGTCTCTTATGTCTACTTCTTTCTGTGTAGACACAGTAACAGTCTGATCTTTCTTTCTTTTCCCTACATAATTGATTTGCACTCTGACACAAACCAGATCTATATTTAATATATTAGAAACATGGCAATCCTCAGATATGCTGTTTAAAAGAAAAGATGCAATCTAATCTGGCAATGGATACATAGATGTTCGCTGTATGATTCCCTCTACTTTGCTATAGTAAAGATTTGGGGTTATGGTTCTGGTTAAAACGAAGTAAGCACAGTCCACTCTGTCTCTCCCACCAAAACAAATAAAATCTCTGGAAAGAATGCATGGAACGTACACCTACTATATACCCACACACATTTTAAATTAAAAAGTAAAAACAAAGAATGCATGGAACAGCTGAGGACTCTGTAAATGGTATCAGGTGGATTCGGGAAAAAAAAAATCAGAACTCAAAGTAAGGACAATCCTGCTGTGACTTTCCAGATTTTTCTTTTCCTCCCATACCTTCCAACTTGGACTTGAGGCAGTGCAAATCATGGAACTGTGCCCTGGGCACAGTCAGAAAGATTTCCAACAGAAGCTCTCTCATTCTGGTCTAAGGAGAAGGGAGCCCCTATAGAACAGAGAAGGCAGGGGAAATTCTCTGCTTCATTTTTCTCTACAGGCCCTGCCCCCCTCCCGCAAGCCAAGCCCCACTCCCAAAGCTACAACTTGACAGTGGTAAGGGTAGCAGCAGTGGCTGGGCAAGCACCTTAAAGTCCGACATAGGGGAATCTTTCTCTCTGGCCAGAGGAACTGTGGTCATAAAGCACGGTGGAGGAAGAATCCAAATGTTCTCTTGTTACCCTCCCCCACTTGGTCCTGGAGGCAGACCTATTTGTGGAAAGTACACAGCAGGGCCGGGAGACCACAGCCTTGGCTTTCCAGTCAGAGGACCAGGAAAAGAGGGTGGGGAGCTGGAAAATGTAGGGGAGTTGATCATGGAGAAGATGGAGCCTGAGAAAGGGATGGCATAGAGTTGTGTGTGTGCTCCTGGGCTCACCCCTGAGCTGTTTAATAAGCCTATTTAGTATCAGAGTTCATAGAGCAAAGTCAATATTTAATGTCTCTGGGGCCAGTTAGCTTCTGTCTTCCACATCCCAGATTCTACTCTGGACAATGATCTTGCTTTTACAAATGCATGCTATTGGTCATAAAGTCAATATGAGAAAATAAGCAAAAACCCAGGTCCCATAGGTAAAAGGGAAACAATTTAGTCCCCAAATACAAAGAGCACATATATGTATATTCTCTGAAGAGACGTTTCCAGAACAAACACTGCCAATTAAAATATTTTGCATGTATGTGAAGAAAAGATGTCTGGAGTGATCAGATTCTCCCTGTACATTGGTTATGCTCCAATTTGTTCTACTCAAGATGAGCTTACCTTATCAGCAACATCCACCCTGGCCTTGTGTTTAAGCAAGAAATCCACTGCAGATAAATGATTTCTCCCCACTGCAAAATGCAGGGCTGTGCGGTTCATCTGAGGAAGCATAATTTATGTTTTTAGTCACTGATCATTATTTAGTGCTTTTAGGTTTCCTGTTCTTGAATGGCCATAGTTTTCTATTAGGTGTTTCTATTTTGATTGTTTGGCTCCACTCTTTGCCTTTACCTTTGAAAGTTGTGAGAATTGTGTCCAGCCGAATTCTGCCTTCATTATGAGATAACAGCAGAGAATTTGGCAATCCACTGAAGGACACGCCTCGAGCTGAAATTCTTGTTTCAACTTATATTGTATTGTAGCATTATGTTGTGGCAACATAATGGGTTTTGTTTAGAAAGTAAAAGTTGGATTTCCCCCTTATATAATCATTAATAACGGTAAATTTTTCTGCTTAGAATATCCTAATAATGCATAGCGGAAATTTTCCTAGGTATTCAATCCACTCATGTTCATTCTTCTCTAAGTTTTTGGACTGTAAACTTTACTGAAGCAAATAAATTCCTTCTGAAAGGAAGAAGGAAGGGAGGAAGGGATAAAAGAGCGAAGAAAAGAGGAAGGAAAGACAGAAAGGCAGAGGAAAAGCTATGACCATCTTGCTCCAAAGGACAGTCCATGTGGTGCTCCTGGGATACCCAGAGAGAGTCTAATACATTTCAGACAATGAAAGTTTTGCTTGGAAGTGATATGAGTCATAATTCCCATATTCTAGACACTGTTTTTGCTTCCAAAGAAGATGTCTGGGCATGGCTTTACTATTCTTTGTTACACATAAATAAGAAAAAAATGAGAACTGTTTAAATATTTGATTTTCTTGGTAGTGTCAACCTAAATAATAAGAGAGACTTTCAAAAGAAAAGATATTTATTTGGGAATAAAGCATTGCAACGGGAATATGCATGTCATAGTAAACTATGTGTGTATTTAGGGAAGTAAAAGAAGACAAAGGTTTTTAAAGGAAAAAAAATGAGGAGGATTACATAACTGTTTTGAAATAATTATCCTTTGCTGCAAAGTTCAACAACAAGCTGACACCAGTCTTAGATTAGACAGGCAGTTTCTGGGCAGATGTCCTTGCAGAAGTATTTTCTGTGTAAGGTTGTGATGGCCTTTGTGTGAGGTTGTGGGTTTTGCAGTCTTTTGTGATAGTTTTTGTTATCAAGTATACAAGCATGAGAACCCTGTCTTCATGGCCTTCCCCAGCTCTATTTGTCAAGGTTTTCTTAATATCGGTGACCCCATTTTGATTCTGAAAACTTTCACAATAGCTAAACCAGTGATAAAATAAGTTCGACAAAACATGAGTTATGGCTGGGCACGATGGCTCATGCCTGTAATCCTAGCACTTTAGGAGGCCGAGGTGGGTAGATCACCTGAGGTCAGGAGTTTGAGACCAGCCTGGCCAACATGGTGAAACCCTGTAACTACTAAAAATACAAAAATTAGCCAGGCATGGTGGCGTGCGTCTGTAATCCCTGCTACTAAGGAGGCTGAGGCAGGAGAATTGCTTGAACTCAGGAGGTAGAGGTTGCAGTGAGCTGAGATTGCGCCACTGCACTCCAGCCTGGGCAAGAGCGCAAGACTCCGTCTCAAAACAAAACAAAACAAAACAAAAAACCCCATGAGTTATTATGACTTTGTCTGAAATCTGGAGCTTTGCTCTACTATGTCAAATATGGGCTTATAAGCTCCACTATTAACTTTACTTGTGAATAAGGATGTAAGCCAAAATTTCACCCAAGATAATTCAATAAAATTACTTATATTTTAAAAAGCTCCATCGTCACTGGTTTTAAGGAACTCTCCAAGTAACCATGTCAACGATTTGCTGTAAACAGCAAACAGATGTCATGAGAAAGCATAATACAGTTCATTAGGAATTTATAATAACTTGCCACGCTGTAAGTTAAAGTGTATTCGATTGTACTATCTCTCCAAGTACTTTAATATTAAAAAAAAGTTTAAAACAAAACAGAAAGTTGAATATGGAAAAATGTTAAATGGTTTAAACAGTATACTAGATAATCTATTTCCTGCTACTTGGAAAAGTGATTATTGCTTCACTTACTCCCACAATTAACCTTTCATGGTCAAAATAATCTTCAAAGATACCTATCCATAAATATTTTTGAAACTATGCAAATATCCCCTTCAAAGAGACTTGCTTACTTCTTTTCTTTTCCTTCCTTTCCATCTTTTTTCCTTTCTGCCTTTCCTTCCTTTCTTGATTCCTTTTTTTTCTTTTTGTCCCTAAAATTGTTACGCTACAAAATTTTGCTGCTTTCCTATTCTAGGATCTCTATGGAACATGAACACTATATACACTCATAACACATCACACACACACATTATACACATAGACATATCAATCCCCACACTTATCCCCACACATAAGCACAAAGGCTCCCGACACACATGCACAACATCTTCCACTGCATCTGGTACATGATTTCAGATTCTGCAGCTTCAGTTTCTAGGACCTTACTGCCTGCGATAGATATAGGTTTTGTGAAACCTGAGTTTAGACTATTTAGGGAGTCTTCGTTAAAGCCAGAGTCAGAAAGCTTAAATAATTGCAGTTAAAATGCCTTATAATTTTTCAGATTTTATAAAATCATATAGTCATAGGAATATATTACCAGAGCCCTCTCAGTGCCTTACAAGGGGCCTGTACAAGCAAGGGCCCTGAAGCTTATGCTTCATTTACCATTAAATAGCAAATCATTTACCATTAAATTTACCATTAAATACAATTACCCACCTGGAACCACTCCACAAATTGTCCTAAGCAATTGACACAGCCTCCAACCTTCACTTTGATAAACCTGGCCTCAAAGGACTATCAGGAAATCCTCACAAAAGCAAGCAGTAGAGAATCCAAATTTATGGCAGTGGACTTTCCCTCTGCTAAAACCCAGGGACTTAAAGAACAAGTAAGAGCCAGGTTTTAGATAAGGCCTCATTGCCCAAGAGGCAGACACACTACATTTCAAAACCAGTACAATGAAAATCCATATGCCTCTTTAGATTTTTAAATTTGTAAAAACAGAACCACACAGGACATCATTGGCAAGAAAACAACCCAGACTGTGTAGCAAAAAATGTTCTGCCTTTCCAGAATGTGTGAGGCCAAGCTGATCCGCAGGCGACAATCCAGGACCAGGTCCAGGCCTATAACCCCGACAGCTGGCTTTACTGCCCACCCACAGACTCTGAATAGATACGCATGAAGATTCGGTGCACTGCCCTTCTTGGAAGAGGAATTAAAACGCACAGAGCCTCTTCCACTGTTTGACTCCACCTTTTAGCTTAAACACCCTGGGATTACCAACAAAGGAGCGCTCCCTTATCTCAGCTAGCACCATGATTTTTACTTTTATTATTATTTCAGATGTCCTGTGTAAACCCAAGCCATTACTGGAGTAGTCACTTGTCATATTTATGACTTCTACTCACATTGTTCACAGCATTAATGTTAACCTTGTTTTCAGACAGCTTCTCCATAAGATCCAAATTATTGCTTTTAGCAGCATTCTGAAAGCTTCTCTCATTTGGCAGTACTGAAAGAAAGCAAGGCAAGCATGAACTAAGGGAATTTAAGGAGGCCAAAGAGAAAGCATATTTATAGGGCAAACCTTGTAACAACAGCCTTGAAAAGAAACAACAGCCTTGAGTCTTTCACATTTCGCTATTTTTATTTGGGACACAGAAACTTTGCTTCAATATCTTATAAAACGGTAGTATCAAGATTCAATTTTCTCCTCATGCTGCAAGGGTTTTCACACCCTTAAAAATGTTCCTGGCCCCAAACAAAACATTATTCATGAGGACCACCCTGAAGTCAGTAATGTGGTATCTGGCTTAGAAGGTCAGAAGGCGGTAGACTTCCCAGGGGACATTGTTTGTAAAAAACCTTGTACAAGATTAGGCAGGGAGGAGTCCAAATGCTCCTACAGCTTACAGAGATAAAACTGTTGTCTTCAGAACTCTATACAGACGCCAGGCCTGCATGAAGAAAATTTCAAAATGCAGCCTATCACACATACAGACACAAAGGTAAAGGGGATGAAAATGTTTTATTCTCATTGATATAAAAACACGGAGAAGTAGATTGACATCTATTATAAATGTCATATTTCACATACATATACACATTCATATGGTAAGCTTTATTAACTGTCATAGAGAAGATTCCAGGGTTTATTGAGTTTTTTTGTTATGTAGGGGAGTAGAGGGCTCTCAGAGGACAGCCCAACACGAAGGGATAACACCAGAATTGAGGTTAAGTAGGAGTCAATAACAGACCATCTCCAAACAGAAAGGACCTGTAAGAGAGGTTTCTGTATGTGTGTTGCTGAATAGTTTCCTAAGCGTTTGCTTGTTTTTAAATGATACTATCATGACATTCAATGTTCCCCAAGTTTTTGCCGAAGCAAAGACCCTTAAGGATACTGCCAAGTCCAATCAAGGACCAACCAAGGAGTATCTTCTTGGGAAATATTGTTATGGGCTGAATTGTGTCTCTCCAAAATTCATATGTTGAACTCCTAACCCCAAGTACCTCAGAATGTTGACTATATTTGGAGATAGGGCCTTTAAAGAGGTAATGAAGGTAAAATGAGGTCATATGAATGGGCTCCAATCTGATATGATTGGTGTCCCTAAAAGAAGAGAGATTAGGACGGACACACATACACACACACACACACACACACACACACACACACGGAAAACCAGGTGAAGGCAGGGAGAAGGTGACCATCTATAAGCCAAGGAAAGAGGCCTAAGAAGAATCCAACTTTTCCAACATCTTGATGTTGCACTAGTAGCCTCCAGAGCTGTGAGAAAATAAGCATCTGTGGTTTGAGCCATCCAGTCTGCTGTACTTTGTCGTGGCAGCCTGAGCAGACTCATACAGATTCACATGTTCATTCTTTCTGTTACCTGGATCCTTCTCTTCCTTCCTACCCCTACTCTTGTCACCATTCTAGGTGACTTCAACCTCCTCACAGATGATTAATCCAACACCTTGGCCTCTTAGTTCCCTCTAATAATCTTCCGCAGATCTGACCTCAGTCATCAAATTTCAGAGACACATTCCTGAATTAATCATCACTCAAACTGCACTACCTCTGAAATCTTGACTTCCAGAATCCTATTCTTTGACCACAACTTCTCATCCATTCAGCTCAGCTGCTCTAGTTCTCCAAGTCCAGAAATTCTGCAACCTTATGAAGTCCTCCAGTCCACAGTTCTAACCCTTTCTCATATTCTTCATTTCTGTGCCCTTACTTCCCTCCTTACCATGTTTAGATTCCATGGTGCCAGTTTGTTTTTGCTGCTGTAACAAATTACCTGACACTGAGTAATTTTTTAAAAAACAGAAATGTATTTCACACATTCAGACCATAGCATATGGTCCACCTATGAAATCACTTCTATGCAAACACCTCCCTCACCATTCTTTTCCTCCATTAGACTAGTTGGTCAGAATCCTAATTCTGAGATTAAATCCAACTGCTACTTGCTTTGTTTCTGTACCTGAACAGCTAAACGGTACTGGAGAAAAACACACAACCATGCTGTGGTAAACATTGCTAGTGTTCATCAATATCTGCTTTTTCTCTTCTACCTGGTCACATGTGTAAGCCCATATCCCAGCCTGGATACAGCTAGATGAGGTGTATCCAATGGACTGAAAGCAGAAGTGATGGCATGTCACTTTGGGGCTGAGTCAGTGAAAAGCCTGTGTCACCCTCTAGGTCTCTTTTCCCTGCCTTAGCAACACTGGAAGCCATGTGTTTAAATGAAGGGGTCACAAGATGGTGGTACCTCCATCAACTGGGTATTGGGAGATAATTCTCTCCGGGTCTCTCACATTTCTGCACATCTTACAAGCAAAAGCATTGACTGGCTTTGCTCTTTACTATCTTTTCAAGGATGTTTGTATAGTGAAAAGCCTTGACAAATAGAGATATTTTTCCTCTGGAGCAAAGGGCAGGTTTGCTTGCAGCCTTGGAAGAAAGCAATGGTAAGGCATGCTTACTGACTATTACAAACGATTTGGGTTCCCTAAGTGCAGGATTTTTCTGTAACACAACCCACTGTGTGTGCAGGTGTCATTTGGCATCTTTATATCTCCCTGTGGGAATTGGGGCTTGGAGAACTGACACAAATGCTAACACTCTGGCTACTGCTACTGCTGTGAGTAATGGAATCCATCATCTCTGATCCAAAAGTGTCTTCTGCCAGCATCTCTATCACCTAGTAAGCTAACTTGTGAGATTATAAGTAGGGTAAAATCTCAACCCCTTTATGGTCCTTGACACCTGGGTTCCTGAGAGACCCTCGCAAACCTATTTTGGACATGCTACACGAGCAAGAAATAGATTTTTCTTTTAAAGACGGGGTCTTGTTACATTTTCCAGGCTGGTCTTGAACTCCTGTCCTCAAGTGATCCTCTCACCTGGACCTCCCAAAATGCTGGGATTATAGGTGTGAGCCACCACACCCAGCCAGAAATAGATTGTTTTTATGTCCAGTCACTCAGACGTAGGAGTCATTTATTGCTGCAGGAAAAGCTTACTTTGTCCTGATTGATACACATGCTAACAGGTCTCTTAAATTCTTCTCCACTAATCTCAGCACGACTAGCTAGCCTCTACATTTCCCTAGTCTTCCCTTCTTCAATATGTCATATCCTTTCCTTTCTCCTCAAATATCTGAATTTACTAATCTACCTAATTTACTTCCTCCTACTACCATCACCTAATTCTCAGTCAATACCGTTGCCTCATAGTGAAAACAGAAGTAGTAGGACACGAATTCCCACATCTTCCCACCTAGGTGAATCTACCAACCTACCTTCATTTGTATATACAGGATGAAGCATCCCTGTACCTAGGAAAGGCCAACTTCTACTCCTGGGCTCTGGATCCCATCCCCTTTTTATCTTTTCAAGTGTTTCATATGTCAGTCTCTTGGAAATTATGTCTTCTTTCCTCTAGATCACTTAATCTCTCTCCAGTGGATCACTTCCTTCAAAAAATACGGAGATGTCATAATACCCTAAGTGTAAAAAACCCTCCTTTGACCCCAGCTTCCTTTCCAACTGCTGCTGCATTTTTCAACTTTCCATTACCCCAAACTTAAGTATTCTATAATTGCTGTCTCCATTTCTTCATCTCAGTCTTGTCTCAACCCATGCTAATCAGACATCTTTCCCACCCCTCTACTGAAACTGCTCTTGTTGAGGTCACTCCGTCTTGCCAAAACCCAGTCATCATACCCTGTCAAGTGCATTGAGCTCTTGGCAACTGTGACACAGAGGAACACACACCCCTTGTAACATGTTCTTCTCTAGAGGTCTGGTAAGCCAACTGTTGCTTTCTAGTCTTTTCTACCTGCTCTTTTTCCTTTGCTTGATCTCCAACTATTGGAATGCCCCAGGGTTTATATAAAACAAATAACCTGTTGATGTAGGCATGATTCCTCCATCTTACAGATGAAGAAACTGAGATTTTCAAAAGTTAGACCACTTGTTCATGCTTTATAAGTGATAGAATTGTCCTAGGCAGCCTGACTCCAACCACATCACCCTGTCTCATGGCCTTCACTGCACTTACCTTAAATTATCTTATTCATTTATTTGCTTACTTACTTTATTGTCTATCACCCCTCTACCACAACAGAATGTTCCACCAGAATAGGGGTTGTCTTGTTCTCTCCATCCCTACATCTAGAACATGCCTAGAAAATAGTTAAGCCCTTGAAAATATTTCCGGAATGACTGAATGAACACTATATTGAGGAACTGGTGTACAGCTTCCAAGCCTAATTTAGGAAATAAGGCCGTCCTAGCCAGTAGGCTTGGATGGTGTGCCCCGTTAAGAGACTTGAGTACTGGGCCGGGCGCGGTGGCTCAAGCCTGTAATCCCAGCACTTTGGGAGGCCGAGACGGGCGGATCACGAGGTCAGGAGATCGAGACCATCCTGGCTAACACGGTGAAACCCCGTCCCTACTAAAAAATACAAAAAATTAGCCGGGCGAGGTGGCGGGCTCCTGTAGTCCCAGCTACTCAGGAGGCTGAGGCAGGAGAATGGCCTAAACCCGGGAGGCGGAGCTTGCAGTGAGCTGAGATCCGGCCACTGCACTGCAGCCTGGGGACAGAGCCAGACTCCGTCTCAAAAAAAAAAAAAAAAAGAGAGACTTGAGTAGTGGGAAGGCTGAGGTGGGAGGATCACCTGAGCCTGAGGAGGTCTGTGATTGCACTACTACATTCCAGCCTGTGCAACAGAGCAACAAGACCCTGCTTGCGGGGGGGCCGGGGTCGGAGGCGGGTGGGGAGTGGAGGGTGCCGGGGAGAGACTTGACTCGCTTTCAGCTTTTGAACTGCTTAACAGCTGCCTTAGTTTATACTGCACATTATTCCCAAGGCATAGATGATCCACTCCATGCTTTAAAACTTAAGCGCAGAAAGATAAGTGATTTATTTAAAGTCAGACAATAAATCGGCGCATGAGTCACGATATAGGAGATAAGAGCACATGAAACTCTTATTTGCAAAAGGACTTAATCATTATTTTAAAAAGCCTCCTCCTTAATTCGGAAGAATAATACTGTCCTTCCACCCACAGTACATGGTGGGAGTGGATTCCAAAGCCGAAAACCAGCCAACAAGGGGTGCAGCGGTGGAGGCTGGGACTCGGGGTCCCAGGGCGGAGTCGCCGCGCCAGTTTCACTCCCGCAGCTTCCGGAGGCGCTGCACTGGGTACCTTTTTAAGTCCCTTCGACCCAGCCCGCCCCGCAACCTGATTTTCTGAGACCTCGTTTCCGGGACTCACGGAGCTCGTGTCCGGCAACTGTCGTGTCCTCTTCTCCAAGCCCCTTCCGCTTCGGGATCCGGGACAGGGCCCTCCAAGGCAGGGCGTCCGCGCCCCTCAGGTCCTCCCTGAGACCCTTGGCGGCAGCAGCCGCCCCGAGCAGCAGCCCCCCTACCGTGGCCCCGTGGCCCCGGGCGCGCCCGGCGAGGTCCATGGTCGCCTCCGCGGACCCGGAGCGCAGGTCCAGACCCAGACCCAGATCCAGACAGGCCCAGGGCGCGAGGCTGGACGCTGGCAGGTCAGCCCCGCCGGAGCGCAGACCGCTCTCTGTTGTGGCGGTTCGCTGGGCAACAAGCCCCTGGTTCTCCAGCCCTGCCCTGACTTGGGCCGGCCTGGGAGAATCCGCCCTCAGGTGTGGCGTGCACTGTGCTTAAGGTTTGGTTCTCCGGGAAATAAAACATCCTGCGAAATCTACAAGCCCCAGTGAACTCCCACTTCTACTCTACCACTTCTTTGTACAATTTTAAGAAATGTCGGCCGGGCGTGGTGGCTCACGCCTGTAATCCCAGCACTTTGGGAGGCCGAGGTGGGCGGATCACAAGGTCAGGAGATCGAGACCACGGTGAAACCCCGTCTCTACTAAAAATAGAAAAAATTAGCCGGGCGCAGGGGCGGGCGCCTGTAGTCCCAGCTACTCGGGAGGCTGAGGCAGGAGAATGGCGTGAACCCGGGAGGCGGAGCTTGCAGTGAGCCGAGATTGCGCCACTGCACTCCAGCCTGGGCGACAGAGCGAGACTCCGTCTCAAAAAAAAAAAAAAAAAAATTTTTAAGAAATGTCAAGGTTGAATTTATAACCAACACTATAGGAACTTCAATATTACATGATTTCTAAATGGGCTTCCAACATTTTCTTTTGAATAAAGAAAGACTTGATTTCTCATTTGAAGACCACGCAATTATAATCTCTCCTGGCGGATTCTTTTGAAAAGTGAAATATTACAGAAGCAAGTCAAATTCTGACCCCCCAAATAAACTTCAAATAAGAAAGGTAATCAGGTTTTCATTTATTTTTTATTCTTCTTACAAATTTACAAAAGATGTATCATTTTAATGTAAATTATGTAATATCAATTTCATTTCAAACTTGTCAGCTTTTTCCTTCAAATTATTGTGCACCCATGAGGCACTGAATTCAAAACAATGTTTCCTTATCAATGAAAACAAATGACAAAATATTATTTATCAGAACACCACCCGTAACCTCAAACTTTCCTTTTTTAAAAAAGGGAAATGGGCCTCATGTTTGTAATAGGGATATGATAAAAACAACAGCAGATAAGCTGAATTGAGTATTATGCAGAAATATCAGACAATGTACTAATATGGAAAGTATAATATGTAAATGGAAAAACAGGGCACAAATTATATGTGTATGTAGCATGTTTACAAGTAAAATTCTAAAAATCAGAAGAAAATACCCACACAAAAGAAGGAATAATAGTGAAAACAGCAGCAGATCAATGGAAAGCATACAGTCAAGTACAGAAAGATCTCCCAATCTGGGCAACAAAGTGAGAACCCCTCTCTACAAAAATTAGCCAGGCATGGTGGTGCATGCCCGTAGTCCCAGCTACTTGGGAGGCTGAGGTGGGAGGATGGCCTGGGAGGCAGAGGTTGCAATGAGCCAAGATTGTGCCACTGTGTGCCAGTCCGTGTGATAGAGCCAGAGCCTATCTCAATAAATAAATAAAATAATAATAATAAGAAGAAAAAGATCTGAATTGTGTTATCCAAGTTTGAAACTGCTTTCAAATTCTAAACCAAGAAATTGACTTTTTAAAAAATCTTCTTATCGATGACCGGAGAAAATGCATCATCATTTTATGCTATATAGCCTTATAATAGTATGTGGTACTGTGGCCGGGCGCGGTGGCTCAAGCCTGTAATCCCAGCACTTTGGGAGGCCGAGACGGGCGGATCACGAGGTCAGGAGATCGAGACCATCCTGGCTAACACGGTGAAACCCCGTCCCTACTAAAAAATACAAAAAACTAGCCGGGCGAGGTGGCGGCGCCTGTAGTCCCAGCTACTCCGGAGGCTGAGGCAGGAGAATGGCATAAACCCGGGAGGTGGAGCTTGCAGTGAGCTGAGATTGGGCCACTGCACTCCAGCCTGGGTGACAGCGACTCCGTATAAAAAAAAAAAAAAAAAAAAAAAATAGTATGTGGTACTTATCTTACTCTACCAGATGAGACAAAAACTCCAAAGCAGTGCATTATGTGAAACTCAGCCATAGCTGGACTTTACTTCCCTGAGAGCTTGGGCTAAATGAGAAGTTACGAAGTATACTGTGGGAGGTATTTTCTTTTTCACTGTGTTTCAAATATCAGGTTACTTCTCAAGCAGAATATTAATTCTAAGTGTGCTAATACATAAAAGCTTGCTCACATGAGCTGGCCCTACTCATCTCTCTAATCTTGGGCCCTACAATTCTTCTCCATTCTTCATCCAGTGTTTCCTGGTGGAGAGCCATCCAGCTTTTATTTCCTCCCTTTGCCTAGAACCTCTCTCCCCCACCTCCACTTCCGAATTTTTAAAATAGTTTTGATTCTTTGTATCAGTAAGGTTTCAGGTTAAATGTCACTTCCTCAGAGGAGCCTTCTCGGATCATCTTATTCTAAAAGTGTCCCCTACCTTCATGTTCCATTCTCTTGTGCTGTTGTCACTTTCCTTTGTAGCACTTACCATTGAAATGTCTGTATTTGTTTAGTGTCTGTTTCCACAACCAGAAGGTAAACTTCATGAATACAGTGATTTTTAAAAGTCTGTTGGGCCAGGCGTGGTGGTCCATGCCTATAATCCCAGCAATTTGAGAGGCTGAAGTCGAGGATGGCTTGAGGCCAGGAGTTTGAGGCCAACCTGGGCAACTTAGTGAGACTCCAGTCTCCACAAATAATTTAAAAATTAGCTGCTGCTGGTGGTGCACACCTGTAGTCTTAGCTACTTGGGAAGCTGAGATGGGAGTATGGCCTGAGCCAAGGAGGTCAAGGCTGCAGCAAGCTGTTATCATGTCACTGTATTCCAACCTGTGTGACAGAGCAAGACTCTGTCTCAAAAAAAAAAAAAAAAAAAAAGTTTCCTACTGCATCTCCAACAGCTACCCAACCTGCAATAAGTATTTGTCAAATAAATATGGAACGCAATTTAGCCATGTGAGCAGTAACTTGTCTTTGAGTCCTGAAAGCTTTAGTTTTTTCCCTAAAGGAAGGTCTAGACTAAAAAAATATGTTCAATTCTGAAGTAAACCTTTAAAACCAGATCCTGTTCAAGGATTCCATATTTTTAAAAACATCTTCCTAGATTTCTCTTTGCCCTCCTCTACCAGATGATTTCTCCCTAGACTCCCACTTTGTATATTCACCTATTATAGCCCTCCCTACATTGAATAGAAACTGTCCCTGGAGTGGCTGTCCATTTTTTGAGGACAAACATGTCTTAATAATCTTTATGTCCTTTATCCACTAGGATTCAGCTATAATTAATAGGAAAACCCAAGTAACTATGGCTTAAACAGTTTTTTTATTTGCTTCTTGTGAAAGTCTCAAAGTGTGCAGGCCAGTGCTGATATGTCTCTGTTTTACAACGCCCCCAGGAATCAGCCTCTGCAGCCCACTACTCCACCATCCCCATGTGCAGCCCTTATGTTTAGGTGTAAACGGCAGCATCTGCTTCCAGGCAGCAGGATGGAACAGAGAAATAGAAGAGGCAAAGAGAATGCTACAGCTGCAAGAAGGGAAGTTTCCCAAAAGCAACCACACATAGTACTTCCTTTTTTTTTTTTTTTTTTTTTTGAGACAAGGTCTCGTCTAGCTTTGTCACCCAGGTTGGAGTGCAGTGGTGCAATCTCAGCTCACTGCAACCTCCGCCTCCCGGGTTCAAGCGATTCTTTTGCCTCAGCCTCCTGAGTAGCTGGGATCACAAGCGTGCCACCATGCCCAGCTACTTTTTGTATTTTTAGTAGAGACGGGGTTTTACCATCTTGGCCAGGCTGGTCTGGAACTCCTGA